GACGAGTTATTTGTGGGTAGCAAATACTGATTAATCTCTGAGGTGACAGACGCCGAACTACCGGAAGAATTGACGGACCAAAGATCCGACTAGAGAGAACTAGTCCCGCTTGGTAAGTTTGGTAACATCTTAGTACATATCCCATTCCTGAGGTGGGAAGGAGTAATTGCGAAAGACGAATGCGTCTACGGGATAATTGCTGTAGCAGTATAACAATTATTAGGCCAGAGTTAGTAGCTATGATTGTGGTTTCGACGCTGGTCGTCAACTTTTGTTTTATGGTGGCTAACGGTGAGTCTCGGTGGTGATGATGCTAATGAGGACGATAGTGCTGTGCGTAATGGTCAGGTGAAATAAGGTATATATGGTGCTATGTGCAAAAAATCTTGCGCCGGCTCAGAATCTGTCAATGTCCTAACACTGAAGGTTCTAATGGTCGCCTGGCGGAGGAGTTTCTTGCTGTGTTATTTGGTAGCCTACGAAAAAATCAAGCGGAAAATCTCATCAGACCGGATATACCGACACCGGTCTGTATCTGCTTCTTTGATGCGCCCATTAATAGTTCTGAAATGGTTTTGGTGGTGGATCTTGGTATCCATTGATGATTGGAGGTGTAAAGAAATTCTAGTGGAAGAATGGAAATCGGGAGTCGAGTTAATGCTTGCAATCGCCTCTACATGACAACCACAATCGGTTAGAGAATATACACTAAGAAAATTCAAAGCCTATACTTGCGTACGAGAGTCATTTAACTAATGCGTCTAGATTATACCAGTAGATTGGCTATATAATCGTGTAGCTTATCTACTCTTCACCGTCATCACGGGTTCGACGGCTGGGTGTGTATCGTTCACTGTTTGTACTCGTACTTGCTGAAGCCTTACCATTGGACTTTGATGCTCGACGTTTTTTTGACACCGAACAAACCAAACTCCCACTCGACAAACTGCTTATCATCAGACCCACTGTCTGGTAGCCTAATTCTTGCATATTATACCTAACATTCAATCGGTGCCCGTCTATTTTGGTTGCCCTGAATTGACCCTTGCCTAAGGTTATGGGTAGACAACTACGGCTCACGAAGTAATGACAGAATAATTAACAACAGTAATTTGGCCATGCTGTGGTCAGTGTTTGACGGGGGCCCGAGGACCCAATTGTCCTCGTTTACTAGTGTGCAAGCTCTAGGACCCCTAGTTGTCCATCTTTTTCCTCCTTGCCGCCACAGCAGTTCTTATTAGTAGTGCTAGTAGCATTGTTAATATAGTTTTATTAACATAGGTTTTAGTTCTATGATTGAATTAGATGTATGACCAAGCTATAGATACGTGGGTAGTGACCGCGAAACTGCACCAAGCTACCTAGTAAAATCGTTACCTATCGACTACCTAACTCAATCGATTATATAGCTATAACCAACGACACGGCGTCTGTAGGAGTCAGACTATCCTAAACAAACAACAACAGCAGGGAGTATGTCAGTTCTGTGTCGTTCTGTGTTCTATTCTCTTTCTTTATGCAGCGCTGCACTAGTGATTGTAGTGATAGCGGTGCCACCAGCGGCAATGGCAGCATTGTGTTGCAAATAACGGACCCAACAGACGCTAATCGCAATTGTTCCATTACCCGCTCTCTAGCTATCTACATTTGTCAGCAAGCTAGGGTGAATGCGCCGGGTATGACCGACTTGAGTTGATCGTCGGCCGGGCGGCCGGCCGGCGATCGTCTGCGTTTGACCACACTAGCACTGCAACCGCAGCGATACTAACAGTAACTACGTCGCTATGAATATCATTGATAATACAGGCAGAGAGGTATGACAGCAGCGGCACGGGTAGCCGTAGGAGGAGAGATTCCTTAACTCCCCCATTTGTGACGGTTTGCATAGTCTGTCTCGATGCGACGGTGACAGGTACAACGTCGGTGCTGACGATTTTCAATTTTCGCCGTGTGCTAACAATTTGCACTTTAGCAGTCCGGACAGTTGTCGTCAGTTGGTTCGTTGGAACGGGCGTTACTTGGTTCTGATAGTATTTTCATCTCGTTGTTCATTGGTTGATTGTTTATGTATTTGTAGCTTGTGGGAGTGGATAATCAAAAAGTTTGTACAAAAGACCTAACAGAAGATAGCGATAGTGCTTGACCCACCAATTCCACGACCACGCGTAGAACTAGTGGTTGTAATAGTCATATGGTATTGTAGTCAACATACTTGTCTGGTACCGGGAACGTATTTGAGGGAGCGATCGTGAATATGGCAGTATGTATTCTTGTATTTCGTATGAGAAACGAAATGACCACATTTAGTAGCCTACTGCGATGAAAAACTAACTTTGTATTACAGTCGAGCACGGATTGTTACTGACATCACTGTTACGAGAGCACTGCGAACATTTCTAAATCAAAAACTCATACTCATGCTAACGAGTAGCTTAAACAGATCGAGCTCCTATCCATACGGCGTTCCTTTGCGCAATATAAAATTTAGGAGAAACATAATTATTTAGAATTGTGCCAGTTATCACAAGCGCGAATTCAGATCGTTATCGAGTATCACAAGCGCGAATTCAGATTGTTATCGAGTATCTCCGTTTGTGCGAAAAACCCGCGATTAGGCAAGAATTAGTCCTAGATCGGACATTATCTATATTAAACTTTGCAGTCTGAACTATTGTGGGCTGGTTAGGTCGACAGTGACGATTTGTCGATATTTTTTTGTGGGGCAAAATAATTGGGGATATTTTAACAATATGATTCATCAATTTTTTGTCTTAAGTTCATCCGTTCACTGCTATCACATCTCTGATTGGGATCTGCACCTCCGGCAATCAGCTTCGGGTAATGTCTAAAGCAATATAGGTTCTTGTTATATCGCATTTTAACTGTTTATATAATATATATAAATATATATATATATATATATATATATACATTACGATAGAATTACGATTATTAACGCTGTTTTGCTGGTCCACAAAAAAATAAACACTAGTAAACCCATCCTAAAATAGTGCTTGAAGTTCGCGAGAAAAGTTTCTCAGCAAGAATCTTTACGTAAAGATAAATACCAACACATTTGTTGCGAAGGATCCGCGCTTTGTTTAGCGCGAATCCTAACTTGATCTAATGCTGTACCTTTGGTATAACGTAATTGGTAACGGAAATATCTAGTTTCTAAACTGTACCGATTCTTAAATACCCGTAAATCTACCTTCGTCATGGATTAAATATCATTCATAGGGTCGATATTTTGAAGCCTTCCATTAAATTCCTTTAATATCAGCGAGGTGCCTACCTGACGTGCAAAAGAGGAGCAATATGTGAGTAAGCTCTAAATGTTTAGTTAATTTACAAAAGTTGCAGAATAACAAGCAAGCTGACCTTGTCGTTCTTCTTGCAAGACGAAGATCAGACCAAAATTAGAAGGGTGCGTTCTGCTAGTTTGGAAATCTGCACGTGTATTTGTCAGGTCCCACTACCGTCCACACGCCGTTGTCGCATGAGGCCATACCTAAAATGGTCGCCGTCGCTATGACAACAAGTTGCAAATCAAATATGCACTAAATGCTGTAGGCACCAGACGGCGCTACATACCCTCGGATTGTATGTGATAACAGAAGTGATTAGTTGTGAGATGGTTTCGTTGCAGGTAGAATCACGCTGCTTTTGTTTCATAACGAAGTTTTAATGCGTTTGATTTCTCAATGTTCTTAGTTGGAGCGTAGGCCCACAAAACTCACTGCTTCACGAAGTGAGTTATTGATGCCGACTAGGATTGCGCGTCATTGAATGTGACTCGGTTTTCTGTGGTGACCCACTACCATGTCGACCTAATATTGGAGGTTGGTGTACGGAGCTTATGCAAGTAAAAGCAAGCTATTTTTAACGAAAGAAGTAGCAATGACATATAGGCGGCAAAAACTGAAAAACGAACCCTTTACTATTGTTGTTATCGATAAACGCATGTACGCGCGTTTCCATGATCCACGGTGAGGCGTGCGGCGATTTGTTTCAGTGGTAAACGCCCGGTGCTTGGCCATAACAATTGACGAAGCTGCTATTGTGATGTGCGCATTTGCAGCTACTGAAAAAGTTTAGTGTGAATTGTTGTCAGTCACGCGACAAAGAAAAGGTAAAAAAATTACAACAGGTTTGCAACTGCCAGATACAATCGTCTTTAGTCAGACCAAATGTATTTCGTTTTGTGCTTGTTTCGTGTTTGCGAATATTCAACATTTCACTTATGCAATTGCATGTATTCTATAGCCGCCATCTACCCTTCAGTTGCATCTCTTTTCACGCCACTTTCTTTCTTCTGCAATTGCGATTTTTGCGATTGATTGCTCGCTATATCCAAATCACAGTGGGGGCTTTTTTTATGCGTAGAAGACTATGTTCCTTCAATTGCGGAAATAACCGTGCTTCAAGAAGCGTCAGATCGAAATTCAGAGGAAAGAATCGCAGATTAAGGAGGCGATGAGGCGCATTAGAGCGAAATGAAACTGCGCACCTGATGAAACGAACAAATTGAAGGCAATCTCGCAAATGCAAGATTGGCTTTAATGTCGTTCTGTTTCTCTGAAGATCGAGTTTGTCCACCCCCCCCCCCCCCCGCAATAATACTACCGTTAGATATTGCCCTTAAAATGAGATATGCCTACGCTCTGTGTCGAACCAGGACTACCTTGCGTATCCCTAGGTTCAGTAGGCGAATACGTTACTTTCACGCACCATTTCTGGCTTTTCAAAGTAATATATCCAGAGCGTGTCCTGCTTATTATTAAGCCAGTTTAACACCAGTGCTCTTAGGGATGGGATTAGTGCAAACATTGTCCACCGTTTATGTCCGTATGATTAGTTTAATCGAGATGATTGTGTTATTAAGCGGTTGTTGTTTTTCGCAAGGTTAGCAGTCCTATCCAACAATAAAACCCTAATACACATTAAATGGTAACAGGATGTGTAAATTCATTACTTGTATGTGGACTTGTGCTTTGCAGGGTGACTCAATGGCGAGCAGCGGCACTGAAAACGGAAGAGGTCGTTCGAATAGCAAAAATGGTACCGACATCGACGAAGGCCTATACTCAAGGCAGCTGTAAGTATCACAGTCAGTATAACTAGGATTGCCAGTAAAGCTAATAATAAACTAATAATAATAATAATAGCTAATAAGCTAATAATGATAAATAATTATTTGGACCGCATAATAAACTATTTACATAGAGGACTGCGAGTGCAATGCAGAATCTGTCGATCGGTTTCTTTTGCATTGGAATGTCTGGTACCGCGTGTCTACCTTCAGATCTTGTATCAAAATAATATTAGGTTTTTGAGCAACATTTATACATTGTAAATACTGATTGAATGGTGTTTGCAGCTATGTACTGGGTCATGAGGCTATGCGGCGAATGCAGTCGTCGGACGTACTCATCTCAGGTTTAGGTGGTTTGGGAGTCGAAATCGCGAAAAATGTAGTTCTCGGCGGTGTCAAATCAGTAACCCTACACGATACTAAATCTGTGTCCATCACAGATTTGTCAGCACAGTACTTTTTAACAAAAGAAGATATCGGTATGTATTACATAGGAAAACAGAACAAAAGCTTCTAGAAGTTCTTTGCAATGTTGTGAACATATCAAATATTGCAGCAGTCGTTACGTAATTTATTTCTCGTTATCCGTTCATTCACGATTTATGCCATCATTTTGATGAATATAGGTATACATCGTCGTGCACTTTCAACTTAACGAATGTTTTAGAAATTGCCAAATTGTTTTTCGGTTGGTTGAACAGGAAAAAATCGTGCGCAAGCCTGCTGTCCACGCATCGCAGAGCTCAACAGTTATGTGGCCGTGTCGGCGTCTACGGGTTCTCTGTCCGAAGACTTTCTTTCAAACTTCGGCGTTATTGTGCTCACTGATTCCATTCTTGAGGAACAGGTGCGCATCGACTCGTGGGCTCATGAAATTGGCAATAAATGCGTGATTGTTGCCGATACGCGTGGTCTATTTTCTCGGATTTTCTGCGATTTTGGTCCCGAGTTCACCGTTTACGATACCAAAGGTGAACAACCGCTCAGCGCTATGGTGGCATCAGTGACCAAGGATGGTGAAGGTATTGTCACTTGTTTGGATGAAACTCGGCACGATTTCGAGGACGGTGATTATGTGCGCTTTTCGGAGGTGCAGGGTATGACCGAGCTGAATGGACGTGAGTTCAAGATCAAAGTGCTTGGAGCATTCACTTTTTCTATCGGTGACTCGTCGGCGTTTAGTGACTACACTCGTGGTGGTATTGTTACGCAGGTAAAGAAGCCAGTCATCTTGGAGTTTAAATCTATGAAAGACACGCTCGAGGAGCCACCGCTCGCTGAATCAGACTGGGCGAAACTCTCTCATCCGAGTAACATGCACATCGCATTTCAAGCACTCGATAAATTTCGAGCAACGAGAGACGCTTTGCCAAAGCCATGGAACGAGGCGGATGCTGATACCGTGTTCGCCGCTGCCAAAGAAATCGCCCCTGCAAATACCGAACTCGACGAAAAACTTATCAAATTGTTCGCGAAGGTCAGCGCGGGAAATTTATGTCCTATGAATGCAACGATTGGAGGCATTGCTGCCCAGGAAGTTATGAAAGCGTGTTCAGGCAAGTTCACCCCATTCCGTCAGTGGTTCTATTTCGACGCCGTTGAATGTCTGCCAGAGGACTGGAAAGTTACTGAGGAGGATGCTACGGCTTTGCCAGATGACCGCTATACAGGGCAGATAAACGTTTTCGGCAAGGCCTTCCAGGCAAAGGTCCTCGCACAGAACTGGTTCATAGTCGGAGCTGGTGCAATCGGTTGCGAACATCTGAAAAACTTCGCCATGATGGGTGTCGGCGCCGGACCTAAAGGCAGCATTACTGTGACAGATATGGACACAATTGAAAGATCAAACTTAAATCGGCAGTTCCTTTTCCGCTCATGGGATGTTGGTCAGCTCAAATCGAAGGCGGCAGCAAAAGCTGTTGCTAAGATGAATCCTGAGGTGAGAATCACTTCGCACGATAACCGCGTCGGTGCCGACACCGAGCCAGTGTACAATGACGATTTCTTTGAAACACTAGACGGAGTAGCTAATGCACTAGACAACGTCGACGCACGTAACTACATGGACCGGAGGTGTGTTTACTATCGCAAGCCGCTGCTGGAGTCGGGCACGCTAGGAACAAAGGGTAATGTACAAGTCGTTTTACCCTATCTTACCGAGAGCTACAGCTCTAGTCAAGATCCACCCGAAAAGTCTATTCCCATCTGCACCCTGAAGAACTTCCCCAACGCGATCGACCATACCTTACAGTGGGCACGTGACGAATTTGAAGGCTTGTTTCGCACTGGTGCAGAGTTCGCGAGTCAATACATTCATGATTCCGATTTTCATAATAAAGCGATGAAAAGTCCCGGGTCACAAGGTCAAGAGATCTACCAGGCTGTGAAGAAGGTCCTCGTTGATGAAAAGCCCTCGAAGTTTGAGGATTGTGTCGCGTGGGCCCGCAAACATTTCGAGGAGCAATATGCCAACCAAATTAAGCAACTCCTTCACAACTTCCCAAAGGATCAAGTGACAAGCTCCGGCGCACCCTTTTGGTCTGGTCCCAAACGCTGTCCCCATCCTTTGGTGTTTGACACCGACGTCGAGCTACACCTTAACTATGTCGAAGCGGCCGCACGACTTAAAGCATTTATGTACGGTATCGACTCGAAGGGTGTCAGGCGAGAGCAGATCAAGGAGATGCTCGCATCCGTCAAAGTACCGGAGTTCCAGGCGAAGCAAGGCATCAAGATCGCTGTCACCGATGCGGAGGCGCAGCAGCAACAGTCGCATATTGGTGACACAGACTTGATGTCAAAACTCGCTTCAAGCATCCCTGAGCCTAGCTCATTCAAGGGCTTCTTCCTGACGCCCATCGAGTTCGAAAAGGATGACGACACCAACTTCCACATGGACTTCATCGTTGCTGCATCGAACCTCCGTGCCGAGAACTATGACATTCCGCCAGCTGACCGCCACAAGTCGAAGCTGATCGCGGGCAAGATCATTCCGGCAATAGCGACCACGACGGCGCTCGTCTCGGGTCTTGTTTCCCTTGAGCTCTACAAGCTTATTCAGGGCCATAACAAGCTAGAGCTGTTTAAGAACTCATTCATTAATCTCGCGTTGCCGTTCATAGGATTTTCGGAACCGATGCGCGCTTCCAAACAGAAATATTATGATACGGAATTCTCTCTATGGGATCGGTTCGACGTGCAGGGCGAAATGACGTTAAAGGAGTTCATGGACTTCTTTTTGAAAGAGAAAAAGCTAGAAATCACAATGCTGTCGCAAGGCGTCTCCATGCTTTATTCATTCTTTATGAATAGCCAGAAGCGCGAAGAACGCCTTAAGATGACAATGTCAGAGGTGGTAGAAAGCGTCAGCGGAAAGAAGATCCCGCCTCATGTAAAGGCGCTCGTTTTCGAGCTCTGTTGTAATGACATTGACGGCGAAGATTTGGAGGTGCCCTACGTTAACTATCGTCTGCCGAAGAAATAATCGGAGCTCCAGTAGGAGTGACTGTCCTAACCCACTATAGAAGCGAAGTAAATGTATGAGCTGTAGCAGACGTACACAAAAGACTAGACGGGAACGTCAATGCCGGATCAAGGCGTATAACATACCCACCACCAATAAAGGACACATGGATGGATTGATGTTAATGCTAGAAAAGTATTTTATTCAAGGATAAAAGACATGATCTAAATATTGATGGACGATGATAATGGTCATTACATGATATAAACAAAAAGTAGCGAAAGCTAATGAAACGGTAAAGTGTGGTACACATCTTTAAGGTGTTTTTTCCTCAAGATTAAATATATTTTGCAAAAAAAGCAGAAGAACTTTTTTCTATTATAGTTAAAAACCATAATTATGTAACTTGAAAACTTAATTTTAGTTAATAGGTACATAAAAAAACGGTTATGATGTTGAAAGTTACCAACAAATATACTTGACGACTGACAAGCTACGTAATACAAGACTAGGTTAAATCGGCAAGATTCTAATTTAGTGAGTTCTTTTCTTGAATTGGGGGAACGCTACGAGCCTTGTATACTATATTGTAGGGTGGTCCTAGGGCAGTAAAAAAAAAAATAGGATTCTTTGAGGAAAAGAGTGCAGCGTGGCATATTACGCGCTTAAGATAATATTGTTAGCGTTTAATTCCAGCAGTATATCTGTTTGTAACAAAAGATTCAATGATGAGTGGGTGACGACAAAACCCGCAGGTCGGGAGAATCAGTGTCGACAGCAAGTCCAAAAAATTCGGGTGTAAAAAGTACTTAGGTGGTTTACTGCAAACTGGATTGCCGGTACGTGTTGGTTGACTAAATAGTAAGGAAAAAAATTAAGATATACCTCACTTGCTGCTAATTCTAATTCTCGAGAGTTTATTTTGGATTGAAAGCTGAGTGTGTTACCGATCTGTTGCACCGTGGGAGTAGTGGATAATTGCAGGACTAAGGAGAATACTCAGCAACCTCGAAGTTGGAACTCTGTCGCTATCATTGTCTTTGATTATAATAAAATTTGCTCGCGCGATATGAAATAAAGCTTATTGACATCGTATCGATGGATCATATGAAACTTTATTTGGCTTTCATAGAATAAAAATAAATAGCTAACATTTTTGAGATCACTGGAGAAGTTCGCAATTAATAACAGACCTGGAGACCTACATTGTAGCATACAGTGCAAACTATTATCTTTCTTGTACTCCTGCTGAATGGGAAGGAAAAGCCTCCAAGGACCTACGGAGCAAATTGGAACTAGTATCGTTGTATATTTCCATAACTAAGTAGCGACTAATAATGATTTGTTCATAATTCCGGACTGGAAGTTAAACTTCCACACTCAAGTTAAAATACTATGTCCGTTAACAGACGTGTAATTTACAGCGTTTTTATAAAAAAACATTAACCAATAAGTGAGAGAATATAATTTGTACCTAAATGTGTAAATGGATAAGAGTGATAGGAGTTGTTGCCGGACCAACAGTACTTCTTTTTCCGAGTATATCCAACGATGTCCTTCTTAGACATTTTCCTTACTACACATTTTTCAAATTAGAGCAGCAACGAAGTAATCACCAACTTGTAAAAATGAGCAAATAGATTTTTTTACAGGACTGGCAACATCTTACATTTGTCCTACATACACGGCAATGTATGAAACACTTCAATTCGAATTCTCACCTGGTTCCAGTTAACTGCACTGTGACTGAAGACACAATTATACATACATATTTATTTGCCGTTTACTTGCCACCTTTTTTTCGCCAGTTCTAATCCCTTCTTCCAATGACCTATTCGGTTGGTGCGCGCCGACTAATCAATAAATTGACCACAACCATTGTGTGCTACCATCATGATCTTTCTTATAGCATTATCATCATCGTTTCTTTACATGTTTTCTGTACACATCTTGATCCATGTTGACATCTAGATATTGGCTTGTAGGCATTTCTAGTTGTAATATAAAAGATATGCAGTTGGCACTGTAAGTCCTACTGCAACGTGAATTGACTACACGCCCTGTCACATTTGCTATAGTAAGCTTTTGTTCTATACTGCACGCATATATCACCTGCCTACGAGACGTCTATTCTATTTTTCTAATGCGAAGCGTCGCGCTATACAATACACAACTAATGCAAGTATTTTCATTGCACTGTACGGTATCACCTTTACCCAGGTACATTTTATTTGATAGCAAAATTTTGACTTAATTTTAGCACAGCATTGATGTATGTAGAAAAGGAAGGGAATAACTTTCAGTTTGTTCTTATGTCTCAATAAATCGAAAGCAATTAAGAACGACTAATATATTATGTACGTTAGTACCAACCTGAGGTTTTATGTATAAGACGCAATCAAATTCACATATTTACATAAAGAAAAATGTTGCGCGAAGGTCGCATTGTCACAATCGATATCTGATAGTTTCGCTCTAATAATATCGCGGGAAAATAAAAAGCAACATTTTTCGCGTCGGATTTTTTTTAATGCTCAGCGACTTGGCTTAGTCACACTGGATGTGTGCGGACAATCTTCGCTGACACATAGAACGAGTTCCGTCCAAGTTAAGAGAATGAATTTTCTGTTGTGTGGCTTACTTGCACTTACGTTAGAAAAAATAAATATGCGTGACGTGAACAGCAATTTCTTGGTAAGTAGTATTATTCGGAAGTGTAGTCTGTACTAAAGGAACTAAGTTCTTTAGTGTTGTAATAGCCTTTTACTTACTGTGAGTACTGATGAATGCTCGCTTGTCTGCGCTAGTGTAGATGAACAAGTTACTGCCGAATACCGAGACATGTTCACGATGTTTTTGACGAAGGTTTTTTTTTACCAGAGCTGAGTTTTGACCACGTCTCTACTGACAGGTCACCCATGGTTAAGGGAGAAATTTAGAAAAGACACGGATAGCTTTAAACTGTGCTTATTTTTTCGACTCGTCACCTCTAAGTTCGGTGCGACTGAAGGCCAAATCTCCAAAGAATAACTCCTTGCTCCTAAAAAATAGTTTATATTTGTCTAATGGGTTCAATTGTATCTCATATACTGTCAGGTCGTACAACCTTGTCCCATCATTTCGGGATTTTTAGTTCCCGATAACGTCTTATTTATACCGTTTGATCCATTAGACTTTAAACCATTTTGCGCAACACCGCAGAAGCTTATTCCTAATAACTGATTTCATTAATTCCACCTATTAAAACTAAATATGTGCACGATGAGCATCTATCGTCAATTCGCATTTGTCGGGATTTGTTAACTATGCCTCAGGAAGAAAGTCAGCTCTTTAGTAGCCGAACTAGGATTATTCCTAGTGATTAACTAGGTGAAACCAAAACTAGGATTATTTTGCTTACAGGCAATCATAACTGTTTGTTCTAAGGACGCTATAAGTACACTGTGCTTATGTACAGCAACGATATGTAAGTTTTTAGATTTTAAATTACAAAGCCAGTGTCTTCCCGCGAAGTCCTTGGGTGGTGCGACTCATTGAAGCACGCTCGAGAGATGCTTTTGGCAGCCGGCCGCTTCATTTTTCACGACCTAAAGCTCCAAAATATCTACACGAAAATATTTGGCGACTTTAGAAAATCGTCCGGAAAAACGTCGGGAGGCTAGATCGTCTCCTAGACTGCTCATACAGACAGGTCTTCCTGCAAACCGGCCTGTTTGTGAGTCAATCGTTCTTAACTAACTTGTTCTTTCATACCCATTGTTTTGTTGGTTCAAAGATGGATATGAAAGATAATAAAGTTGAATTTGGATAGAACTATGATTTGTGGGCTAGGTTGTGAACTAAACAAACAATGGACGGATGTCAAAGGATCATTACGATACTGCGGCGTCAAGTGTATCAAGTATAAGCTATAGTAGAGCTATAGTAACTTCACATTTTCACGGTACTCTTTAGATAACACGACTACTATCTCACAGTCTCAATGACTCAACATAAAAATTAAATTCAATCGTGGTTAAGAATGATGAATTCAACGTTATGTGGTAACAAAGGTATCCTTAGTCTATCACACAGAATAATGAGCTAATAGGCACCTGTAAAAGACACAAATAGAAGGTATAAGTCAGCTTATACTTCATTCATCTTTTAGGTAACTTATTTTTTTATTTATGTTGGTAGTTCGTTTGCATCTGTTTGTGTGTGCTAGCCGTGTCTTAACAGTCTCCCCAATTGCAATACCCAGTCGGCGTCAGATGAGCGTATTTAATGCCACACGTACTTATCGGAGTGTTAGTTGTCATCGTGCGAAGCTCGTTACTCACGCATAAACAATATCAATGCCACATAAATACATACAAATCCTACTTTAATGCTTTTTAGTTTAATCAGCATTAAAATTGTTTTCACTGCAACTGTGAAAATAATGGAGGGAAGAATATGCTTCCCTGCATATTGAACACCATAATTTTGGTTACCTTGATACGTATGCTACATGATAATGACACTAAATTTCGATCTTGGACAATTCACTTCATTCAGTCTTGTTTATCATTCATTTCTTGTTCAGGATTTTCTTCATATCCTTTACTCGTACAGACTCACTCAATTATAAGCATATATACAGATGTATATATATATATACGTTCATAAATTTACCTAACTCACGATCATGTCAATTTTGCGAACAACAACTAATTTAGTGGATCTTAGATGCCTTGTAGCAATTTGCTGGTTAAGCTTAGCAACCTACTATATTTAAAATTACGCTTGTCAACACACTGCGATGCATGACATATCGAGTGGGGCATAATTGCAAGCCCACGTTAAGGTGCCCTACTGCCTGTTAAAAATAGACCTCTGGCATATCTTTTGAACCATAAACGAGTCTCCTTTATGGCTGTCATTCGCAGAATACAATATTTTCGAAGCATACGTACGTTTTGTATGTATATTCGCTTTAGCTTAATCTTTGGCTCATCTAATACGTAAGCGAAAATCATTATAATAAGAGTAGGCTATCTAGTTCTCGTAGTATTAGTCACGTCACACCAGCAATTACATGATAACCTTTTTTTTTCCATTACCAGAGATCGTCAACGCTGTAATAACTTTTATCCGAGTTTTAGACTTCGATAGGTAGCTCATCCTAATTATCCTTGTATACGCATTTAGGTGGCTAACCTAGCGACGACTTGTTTAAATCTTACATGTATGCTTCACGTTAATTATATATATATATATATATATATATATATATATACATATATATACGAGCAATTTCCTTTTTCTAACATTTTCACTTAACCCAAAGCTATATTTTTGAAAGGCAAACTAAACGCAAATTACGCTATATAAAAGTCGTAGCGTTAAATTACATAATTACCCTGGGGACTATATGAGCCAGGTTCAAATGGGATTACATGGGCTACTGCATTCCGAGCATAGAGACTGGGTGCCATCGATGCTAATATTACAGCGAAACTAAAGGAACCAAGCAATCTAGAAGTATAACTTGGCTTAAGAGGGATGAATATATGTCAAGTTAAACTAAGTCATCATAATTTTGCACTCGTTATACCACATGTGATGTCGTCAGAAACATATTACATATGGCTGCTTTTGAAGAAGCTTTGATTATTTCTGTTAGCATAACACATTGTTCAGACAAGACACACTGGAAACAATTACGGGTCAGAATTTACCGCGGACAATTGTTTGTCCTAGAATCATACATAACCACTACAGTTGTACAGGTCTCTGTCTGGTCTAGTTGGCTTTAGAGAACGGTGCGCACATTATTACTGTAGCTCCACACTTTTCAAATAAAATGCAATTAATGAGTGTGCTAGTAGCTGACCCATTCGGAAATTAATTTTACAGTGCACAGCAGAACCTAATGAATTGTAACACTTACCTAACTTGGGAGTAAAATTATAAAGCATCGACTTCTCTGGCCATTATCACAACCCTTTCTAGAAAAAAAAACATTTACCCTTTCATTTTGTGCAGTGACCGACTTATCCGCATGAAATCATTGGCAGCCCATAAAGTTCCATGTGTGGCCCACATAATCCTCTTTTGTGGAGCTATACAGGTCAATTAATATCTCCCCGCAAATCATTAAGTTGCAATGAGCCCATTTAGGCTGTATGATAAAAGCGTCTTTGACGAGTATACTAGCATATTTCTTTCCTTTCAGTGACACCGATTGTTTTCAGTTACAGGATCAACCGAATTTTAGCCTATAGTGCTCTACCCTCGCCTATGTAAAGTTACGTGTAAAGTGTCAATATAATATTTAACAGAAATGGTACAATGGCTGCCTTTCTACCTTACCTGTCACTTGATCTGCCTGTACGATTCAATCGCATCATTAACCTTCGCAGATTTATTAACGTGTCCATCCCTTGGTCACATGTGTATAGGATTTCGCTTATTGATAGTTTCTCTGTCCTGTTATAAAACCAGGCGAAATATAATACACACAATATTCTGGACATCTGAAGCCAATTTTTCCCTTGGTTATAGACTTGCTAGAAGTAAGATGCTACAGTCAAAATACACCTTTTGTGTCGTGCCAAAAAACATACTTATCGCCTTTTTCGAGATCCACGTCCAATTCTGTAGTCTTCATAGTAATTATAATAAGAGCAGTAGCAAAAGTACTAATTATTGGCATAAGTCGTGTGTCACGGTTGTTCTCGACTTGGTAGATACTAAGTTGATAATAAATCTATCTAAATGGTACATTTCATTCTAAAGCTATCATAATTATCATCTTCGAAGGGTCGAAATATCAAGAACATGTCTCACTGCGTTTCTGAGGAATTGGACATGCAACATTTGGTCTGGTCGAAATGGTCACCTCCAAAAAGTAATTACATCAGTGATCCGCTCCTTTATCGTCAAAAGAAATTAGGGTGTAGGGAGCTGACGACAGGGTAAGCTGAATCCGACTTTTTTTCTCACATTGTTTTATTTACATTCCTTATTTCGCTCAGCGTAAAGGCGTGCCACACCGGCACCCACCTTTAAGGGCACCTCCATCGACGTATTTATCGCTTGGCTTTGGTGCGTTTTCGCCGATTTCCTGGAGTCATCATCTTGGATCACGCCTATTCCTTATTCGCCTCCTCGTAAGGCGAAACAAGGGGATTAGATCCTTATATCATGTTAATGATGATAATCTCTGATTAACTCATCGTGTCGTCACTATCGTCTGAGTTCGCTTGCACCTGCATCGCTGCGACTCGTTGAACTGGTGGAGCGTATCCTGAGGGTCCGGCATGGTGGTCGATCGGCTCCTGTTGCTGGCACTGAAGAGTATTGTTGGCGCTTGGTGGACTCGGAAAAGGCTGCGCCGGGAGGTTGGAGTGGGCCACATCTTGTCGTTGTGGTTGCATCTGTGTCTGAGCTTCAACCTGATGTTGTTGTTGTGGGTCCTGTTGTGGCTGAACGTTTTCTGCTACAACACAAATCAAAAAGACAGAATAGACAAAAAGAAATTAATAGCCTCGACATGCACCAAATCTTCAAATTGCAAAAACAGATCAAGAAGAAAAGTACTGTAGAAGTACTGATTTGTGAAAAAGCTCGGCATATATATATATAAGGTATACATTTAGAAAGATTTATCGACAAAAGCAACACTTGTTGTTTAACGAGTGTCATTCGTGGTTGGATTATGTTTAATTATGGACGTAATAAAATATTATACTCTTTTCTTTATTATAGGCATTTTTCCCAGTAATGTGTACATACGAAATCTGTTACTACTACTATTATTATTATATTTTTCCTGTAACCTAGAAATAAAAAGTGGGAGGTGTTAGCACCTTGCATAAAATTTCCGTGTAACCCAACAGAAATAAACCCTACCTTGTGCCTTCTGGGTGTCATTAAGTCCTGCAAAATATTTCTTGTAGACCTGTATCTCTTTTGCGCAATAAGTTGCTTTTTCCCCACGACAAGCTTTCAGTTCGGCCAAAATCGATGCATCGGTAGGAACCAGTTTGTTTGCGTGCGTCAAGTCTCTCTACAAAGGACTCAACAAGTTGGGTTAATACTATTATTAACGGTTACATCAGCATATAAGCTATTTTTTTTGATAGATTGTGTTTTATGTGAATCAGTAAAATATCGTTAATATTATTTAAATGTCTATATTCGAGGAATGTTTATGTTGATTTCGGCTACAGATTTGAACACATATACTAAATAGTGGTGGGTTAGATGAAAGAAAATAACGAATCGGAAGCTAAGAGAAGCTTTTCTTAATACAATTGATGGCTAACAATGGCTCTGTCGTAGTCCCCCTTGCCATGATAGGCCTGACCACGACGGTAAAGTCCTTTCGCGTTGCTTGGTGCCAAATCCAAGACTTCATTGCATGCTTCGAGGGCCTGGTCGTATTCCTTGAGTTTGATTTTACACGCGGCTGAATTGAGCACATTTGGGAGAATTGCTTTAGTGAATTCTGCGTCCTCGTAGGCAGTAAGCTCACCGGCTAACTCCTGATCGAACAAATCGATCGAGCGCAGTGTCAGTTAATATTCGCATATCAAAATTTAAGCATCGATCAAACACTAATTTATCATCAAATTATTCCCGTATATTACTTTGGAGTTACGAACAATGTTTAGTTTTGAGAAGTTCCAGTGACGTAAAGCGGAAAATAGACATTGACATTTATATACACGTCTTATAAAAAAAAAACGTTCTCCTAATTATTTAACAATGTAGACGGCAAGGAACTGTCAATTTGATCGTGAGACTAGAAATTCTATTTGGCCATTTCTGGTCTACTCTGTAACACTTGCCTGATATTTGTTTAGATACCGTTGGGCTTTTTTGTATCTACTGTGTGCGTTTACGTACTGTTTCTTCTTGTAATAGTTATTGCCGACGTTTCGTATAAGTGTTGCAGCAGCCGTTACATCCTGTATATAAAACGTATGTGAATTAGCTATAAAATCAATGAAAATTTTGAGACAAACATTATAACAAACAAATATATCTTCAGATAGATCTGTGTGTTCGGGAAGTGTTTCGATTAAATAGCGCACCTATAATGCAATACTGTCTTATTCGGTGGCACGTCACCGAATATCATATGTCAGCAATCAGCTGTTCAGTCCCACGAAAAAGTTTTTAAAGAACACGTTAGTATAAAGTCTTGGTTAAGAAAAAACTTTTTAATTAATTCAGTTAGATTGGTCAGAAAGTAATATGCGTTATTTACTTAACAAAGAGCATAGCGTTTTGCTCAAATTCTATCATTTATTTTTTGTACGTCCGTCGCCCCTCCTCGCAACTTTGCTTATGTCTGTTTCTACATTTGTTTCCTAATCTTCACTAGCTTGCTCTCTAGTTCTCCTAGAACATACCCAGAGCAACTTCGGCAATCGATGTCAATAGCCGTGCGCTGTATTCCAATTTGCATCTAACGCCATATAACTTATTAAAGGAGTATCTCACGGCTAGTTCATTATGTGAGCTCAATTGCGTCAAACCGGCCTACGTGAGGTGCGTCTTAGGCCTCGGCGTCTCAGCTAAAAATCGACTGGTCTACTTCCTTGGTAAAACACGGCCATAAGTGAGAAGCTCAAACGAAGATTCGAATTAGAAGGAACAAAAGCCTATGGACGGTTTACTCCTGGATACGTTCGAAAAATAAACGGTACAGACCCTGATATCCATAATTGAGAAAATTACTTGTTTTATTAGAAGGACAATTTGAAAATAACAGACACGCCGGCACTTAGCAGTCTGTCCTTCTATTTTTGCAGTTTATGAACTCCGTCACGTCGTCTGCCAGACACCCGATTTTCCCAGTGAAAGGTTACCCCCATCATCGATGCAAAAAATCCTGTAGTCGATACCATTCCGAGAGCTGCTCCTAACTAAGAGCGGCTTAACCTTGACATACATGTAAATGGCCCTACTGGTTCATACTTCAATATATCTTAGTCCTGCATAAATGCTCGTGTTAACAGCATGTCGTTAGTATGTATATATGCAATGTTATGGATGTATCTGTAGCATCATTCACATGCTATCACAGGAGTTGCCTGCTGCGTATTCCCCGAAGACGCTTATTGTGCTATCTTTTTCAAACTAACGAAGAGATTGCACTTTTTGCCATTTGTAACAATTCCGCGCAAGAATAGGTCATTTTAATTGTCAGTTGCCCAGTGCCAGGTTAGAAACGCAATGAGGAGCCGTGTTTTCTATGCATCTTACTTAAAATCCCTAGTTTTGAAGCCTTTTCTCCTGCGAAGATATCTGTTGATTTGATAATCATATAGCCCTTTTGCTGGGCCGACTTAGGGATGGCTTGTTGATCCGTATCGACTGGAGTAAAATTCATACTCTAGGTCTAAGAAGCCATCTTTAAACGCCATTTTGCAACTGTTCCTTTCAGACAAGGAGCTCACTCCGCACACGGCGCGGATATTCCGGTCTACTTTGATATTTCGTTTATATCAGCAAGAGGCGAAATAAAGTAAGCCTCGAAAATCTAGTTTGTTTCGCTAGAAACACCTGTTGTTTTAGCCTCAACTCGATATAATATTCTGTCTATCATACAGTAACAATATGTTTATAGAAAAGAGGAACCTCTTTTAGCGACATGTTTACGTAAAAAGCAGTGCTATGGAAAAGAAAAAGAAGACATTTAAAAGGACACGAACTCTACCTTTCGATCAATCTTACAGGTTGTCGAATGAAACAATAACGAAAAATATTAGCAGTATATCGTTACTTCATGTTTACCTGAAGAGACCGTTGATTAAGAAGGCTGGTAGGACAATCTTCTGGGAAAGGTGGGTATCTGTCTTCACCCGTTGGATCCTCAGGTCCCAACAACATTCCTACTTGAAATATGCCACAGTTTTCGATAACAATATCCTGCCACAGAAGTTAGTTTAGTATTAGGTTCCGAGTTCCCTGTTTATGTTATTGTCGGCTTCAAGAAATAGTTCGAGCTCTGAAATGCGACTCACTAATCTAACTAGGTTAGGCTTATTGAGCTTTAATGTTAGCAATACTATCATCTCCACAGATATCTACCTCATCCGGGACGTCACTATGAGTGCTGACCACCTCAACTTCCCTTATGACACCCATGCCCATGATAACCTTGCCAAACACTGTGTGTTGCCCATTCAGATGTTCACAGCCAGGCACTGTCGTAATGTAAAACTGACATCCATTTGTGTTTGGGCCATTCGAAGCCATCCCAAGAAGTCCAGGCTCGTCGTGCTGAAATCGTTGGTACGTTCAGTTATTTACGAATCAAATTAAATCACTACTTCATCAATTCTTTGAATGTATTTTAAATTAGCTTTAATGACCCTTGGCAACATAAATAAAGCATAACTGAACAACGTAACTGTTTTTGCTACACTCGCCGCCAATCTTATAATGCTCGTTAAACAAGCAACAAAGAGTTTCAGTGATAGTCAATAGTTCAGTGATAGTAATAGTCATATTGAAGGTCCACAGCGGAAGAAACTATTAGGAATTTGTCTTAGCTACTCCTTAAGATATTATAGTTGCATTCTCACCGGTATCCAAGGTCCCTCATTAGGGAAGAACCTGCCAAAGATTGAGTCGCTGCCTGTGCCGTCGTTGTTTACCGCATCGCCTCCTTGAATTGCAAAATTTGGAATCACTTTATGTATGCGAGTTCCCTGTAATGACACATCGTTCGTACACCAAATGCTAACATCGTCATTTTTTACCCCCGTGCTGAGAATGTGATCTACGCATAGATGTCATAATGCAGACTCGCAGCTGACGTCACTGACTGACTTGTGTCTTGCACGCTTATGCCATTGTTGTTGAGACTGCTCATTGGACATGACCAACCTACCCTATAACTTAGGAGCTTCCCAGAAGAGCCTCTCGCGGAACCCTTTACAATTGCAACAAAATTGGCAACGGTACTCGGAAACAAGTGCTCCCACAACTCGAAAACCACACGGCCCACTGAAATACGAAAACGACAAAACGTATATTCATGTAAACAAGCATTAACATAGCGTCAAGTATGGTACGAATTATATTATAGATTAGGGTAAATGCGCTCGAGTGTCTAGCATATGAGAAACGGATATGGCCAGCAGCTGCGACAGTTTCTGTCTATGAAGTCCATTGTCAGAATTTGTGCTTTTAGGGGGCACCTACATCTAGAAGCAGGGTGGGTTTATGTTGTCACTCAGGCCAAATCACAGCCAGATAAAGCCTGCTCTGTTATTTCCCTTTATTCCCTTTATTATATTGTTTAAGCACTTCAGAAGAAGGCAAATTTTTCTGGTCGAAGGCCAGTAATTAGCCGTCTGTTGCTCTAGAAAATCAGTATTGAACCTGACATTAAAATAAGTTGTTCTACATCAGCAACGATTTTGCTGACGATAACGTTCCTTTCAAAATCAGCCTCAGAAATTATTCCGGAATATGATCTCTAGTAAATGAATAAATATCACCAAAATCAGCAAACACATTTAGATTTGAAATGCGTATCTGAAACAGCATAATTTATGTAAAAAATAGAAGATTTAAGTGTACCGGAAGCAAACCGGGCTGCATAGGAAAGTGTTATAAAATCGCGTTAGTCTGAAGCATTGTGTTTGAAAAATTATGTCTTATTTCAGCTACTGGAATATAACCCATCAAAAACTGTACATATCATATGATTTTAATGTTATTCATGCTTCTTAGCGTATCCGACTGAAAGGGATAATGTTCAAAACTTGTTATTCTTCTGTATTTTGTGAAACAACGTTTTTATGATGGATTACGTTAAAATTTTGAAATTCTAACGAAAGGACTGTTATTTCAGAGCGTATTTCGTGCGTGTAAAAACAACGGCGTATAAGAACAGTCCTCATTGTAGCGGAGTTTGACTTGATGCCCTAATGTAGTGAATCGACAGAAACAATGAGCGTCAAGCCTTTTTGTAGGAAAAGAAATTATAGAGCAGAACATTACCCAGTAGCTCCTTGGCTTCTACGGACCTGGTGACCGTTATCAGTAAACAGCAACTACGACGATGATAGAGTCAACCAAAGACATCAAAAGACAAGTAACATCAACCGATTGGAAAACCGGACTTTCCTTTGTTTCGAACTTTGCTTTCGTATCTCTGTAGTAATCAAACGTAGTAGCTGGTATATACTTCGTATCTATAGACTGTTTTTTATTACATTAATTAATCAGTGACTTTTGTAAAAATAATAGTCGATCTTAATAGTAAATAAACAATCATGCCGTTCCAATTTTTTTTTGTGGCGGCAACTAGTGTACATTCCACTGGAGTACTTTACACAGCAACTTCCTGGCTGTTTTGTCTTGAGCTGTTCGTTAGGTTCTCTCGACTGCCTGAGATGAGTCACCTCTTTTAACATAAAACAGAATACGTCTAAATCCAGTTTCGATCTTGCCAAACAAACTATTAATCACATATCTTTTTTTAATACCTTCCAGCTATTAATGCGGTCATAACGCGTTCCTTCAGTATAGCTCCAAGTATTTGCCCTGCTTAAAGGGACGATAAATTTGCCACCCAAGTGCTGTCTCTTGGCTACCACCTCACATGCCGCTTAAATGGAAGGTGGCCAGGAAACGAGAGGTAGAGTAGTTGGCTAGCGTAATAGTACGATATGGGACTGCAATATTTATAACGATATCTTGTCAAATTTCAATAAACGGGTTACTATATAGGACCCTTACATAATTCTGACAGGGTTCAATTTCTAGGGTTTCTACACGCGACACATGTACATATAAACGGTTTCCTCGATAAAATCGGATATCTAAAATAATTCTCCTATAATGTTTGCAACTTGACAGTATTAGCTTCAACTTAGTTTGTTGCCTATAATATTCAACAGTCCAAGTGCAAATATTTTAATTAGTCTCTTGAATACTAATTGGTGCATTTCAGCCATTTCAATTCGCAGGAACTTTTAGCGAATATTTTGTGGACTGCTCGTAGCTGACCAGAAACATAGCTTGTCCTATTATCATATAATTGGAAATAGTAATGCGATAAAATTAATCAATATAGATAATTTATGTTTAAAAGCGGATGTTGACATCTATATTATTACTTTGTCACATTTTTTCTAAGGTGTATTTTGCTATAACAATGAATATCTGTCATGTGTTCAATGAGCCCATTAAGATATAAAGGCAAGTTGAAGCGTTCAATGAATATTCATGGAGCGACAAAGGCGCTATGGGCGCCCTGGCTTAATCATTTTTCGGTTAGCCGCGTATTATCATGATACAAATGCAACATTCAGAACGCTACACGAAACAAGCTTCTTCGGCCCACGCCAAACTCGCTTCTGCCGAGGCAGAGGCAATACTAATCACTTATATTGTTTTGTATTAGTTTGGATTTACGATTTGTCTGTAACGTAAAATCTACGATGAGTGACGAGGCTCTGGGTCCAAAAAAGAAGACTGATGGACTGGTGTAGGAAGTTTTCTCATAAGAGTTGCGTATCCTTTTGCAGGAATTCCAATGCAGCTGCTACCGAAGGCTGTCTTGCTTGAGGCGGCCCTACCATAGTAAAGTGAAGGCTTCCGTAATAGTGGATTGACTTCAGAAAAACAATGTAGATGAAGTGAGCTTTTTTTGTCACAAAAAACAGCGGTCTGACTGAGGACGCTTATACAGCAAATTAATATAGAAATTTACTCGAACTGATATACTAATGTTATAAAGACTCAAAGTTTGTCTTGGTAGAGAAATAACGTATACTTTCGGAGTAAATAGAAATGTTTATCTTGTGTTTTACCTGTATCGTCCCTTTCAAGAAATTTCAACAGTCGGCAATGTATATATATATATATATATGTGTGCGGTGTTACAATATCTAAAATACTAGAAAAACAGAAATTCTATGGAAGGTTTATTCTGCAATTAAGTAGTTAGGAATGCCAATATCAGTTAGGCCCATTCTATCTATGAAAATATGCTAAACGCACCATATGTATTGCATAACATTGTAAGTGCACAGTAGCGTATGCTGTATTCGTTTAACAGGGTTGCCCAAACATATTCTACATCATTTTGACCTAAGCCCATATTTTGTATCTTTGATTATTGCTAGATATCTCGAAAACCCAAAACGAACTTACCTCATCAACAATAATACCTGGGTACTAATCATCGCATAAACTCTTGGGAAAGCTTCGCTAATCTTTGGCCCTTGCATAATAAAATAACAAGGTTACATCCACGAATAGAAATGTTGTCAATACGAGGATTCAATACTTCTCAACAATTTAGACCAGATCAATCACCAGATCCGTTGTGAAAATATTGATTCATATTAAGAAAAGATACGGCATTCATTTCTTTGATCTACCGGTTAGAGGTGATTTTGCTACTAAATTTATTCGTAAGCGTAAAGGCTCCTTTTTTACAGAAGTGGAAAGCACTGACCTCGCACGACGGCACTAAGAAAGCTGCTAAGGCAGAAAGGGCTATTACTGGAAGCAGCTGCCATATATAACCCTTCGGTTATAAAAATAACTGTTGAGTAGATACCGGGAAAGTTTGGACGTGCACAACTTATTATACACGAGCGACTAACAACTCATTGTGGATATTGATCAGCAGGCGTCTGGGCGGCGGCGTACGAGAAAGTGACAGTTGCAGTCACTCTGTGTAGCGTTTTGGAACGAAGTTTACTTTCTCTTAATTTGTCCCGTGTTAGTTACATCCAAGGGTAAAAAAGGAAAAACTCCCAGACTCACTGTGGAAGCCAATGATCTGAAGCAACGTTAAACGGCGATACCAAACGTAAGAGGCTCATTAAGTGCTGAAGTTACACATTAACAAATTGTTAGCTGCTCCATTTAACATTGCAGCAGTAAGAAACGGCAGCTACTACATAATGGGTTTCGGGACAGCCTATTTGAAGTTGAATAATACACACAGATGGTAAAAAAGCAATAGGTAAAGGTAATATTAAGATACGAGTAGAACATGCATTAAGCTACCAAAAAACAAAATAGCCAAAATGTTATGAATCATTAGATTAGATTGGCTAAATTAACGACGGTATTAAAACATAGAGTTTAAAGAAGCAGCTTCTGAAGAGCCTGAATCATATACTAATCTGTTTCTTCTCTAACTATAATATAGGGTTAAGCCTAACCATACATAGGTTATTACAGATGTATTGTGGTGAGCTCAAGGAGGCAGGCTCTCAATTAAAGCAGCATATTTTTCAGATGAAAAACTACCCTCTCTTCCCTTCTCTCTAATTACCTCAAGTATTCGTTTTGAATAATTAAAAACTGTTAGTAACAACACTAAGCTTCTATATACACGTAAGCGACACGACGTGACAAAAAAGACAAACGTGTGAACTGACGCAATAGGCACTTATTCGCACCTGCATATGCGCCGTTAAAATCAGCTGTCTCAGGTCAGTCGGATAGCGTGATTCGCTAGTTTTTTCGGCTTTAGGCTTTACTTTATTAAGGCAAGCGTTACTGTACGTCGAGCCGTAGTAAAGAGTTCGATTTGATCCTTTCTATCGACAACATTTTATCTGAGGCACCACATTATAATACTGCACCATAAAGTGCAGCAAAGGCGAGTTTTGGTACAATACATCGGTGTAGCTAAATGCTCTCTTCACTCTTCGCAGTTACTCTTCGCTCGTTCATAAAATATGACACAGTTGTCATAAATAGCCCGTTTTGTACTTGCTATTCGCTGTATGACTGCGCATCTACAAAGCCATGTGCAAATAAAACTAAGTAGAATTACTTACCCAGCTCATCTCCTATCCGGATATCGAGAAAGACGTGCGGGCTATCAGCGCCAACCGGTCCCGGACTCTCCATATTTTGCAATTCGGACATGGGGTTCATGTTGAATTCTCTTTGACAATACCTAATCTCCATCGGTGTCCAACCAAATGGATTCACGACCAAGCCTGGCTCACGCAACCATTAATCGCTAAACCATTAGTTCCATTATTTCGTTTTTTATGAGCCTTTCTAAAACGAGTTCTTTGACTACTTCTTACGTTTGTCTAGTTCTATTTTCAGCTTTTCTATGCACTACGTTTCAAATACGGGATACTTTTCTAAAGAAATATATACATAGATATGTATATATATATATGCACTTCGATAATTAGCGGTTCATCGCTATTTGATTGATATGCCGTCTACACTGTCGTATCTGCCGTTTGTACTAGCACCCTATGATCATCCACCGTCAAGTAATCACAAACTAAATAACAACAACGCCCATTTACTTGCACGGAATGGCTTCACGACATTTGCTTTTTTGTAACTTCACGTAACCACTTCTGTATGCATGAACAATGTTCTAGTACTATCAGTCACTCGGTGGGACCGAAAGACGCAATTTCGTCTCCATTCATCCACTGCCCTATCTAGTAGCACCGCTGCCGACCCCTGACCGCGCACACGAGTCACTAATCAGTGACTGATTAACAGCAAAATAACATCATCGTCTGTCGGTCAAACAGCTCATCGCACTAGTTATCTAGCGTACGGGCCCACCTCCTCGTACCGCCGTCTTCGTCGCGGTTACCTCCGTCGAGCTATCTGTTGCGGTTATTCATTGGGGTGCTATTGATCAACGTAGTTTTATTGTGTTGTCATGCTTGTTACTGGTTGACTGTTGGGCGTCTGGCAATGTCTCAATCCCTATACCGTACAACACCAAAAAAGCAACAGCCAGCAAGACGAGCCTTAAACTCAGCGTAACACCCTAATGGAACAACGGTCCACACAATATTGCACTACATCCCGCAACGCCTGCTATTCTACCCGTAGTGGCGACACGATTGATCCTATCACATCGTAGAAGTCGAATAAATGTGAATACGCCTCTGCCTGCGAAAATTGATGACCGTCGCTGCTGTCCTGTCGTTACATTTGCTATGTTGTTTTTGTTTCAATGCTGTTGTCAGCCGCGATGGCAGTTTTGTCGTTGAATAGTCGCTGGTTATTGTACAACTACGAGTAACTTTGGCCGATGTTGCCTCAATCCCGTTGTTGTTTATTTGCTTATTCGCGTTCTTGATGTCGCCGCTCGTTCCGTTTCGAGTCCGCTGTTGTTTGGCATTAGCAGCCATCGTCCGGTTCTTACCAGTGGCACTTGCTGAGGTCAGCCGTTCGGCGGTGGCGTAACATTTTAGAGCGACATAGAACAAAAGACAGAGTCAACGGAAAAGCAGTAACGGACGGTATCGCTTTTTCGCTTGCTTGCCCCTGCCTCTTCAAGTGTACTGAATCGTATCACAACAACGCTTGCTTTTGTTGTTGTACGTGCTGTTACGTTAGTATGCGGCCGTCGCACATACAATATGTATGATACAGTATATTATATATTTCTTTTCTCTTTTTCTTTGAATATACACATATATGAAACGCGGCCGGCTGACTACCTCGGATCCTCGAATATTCTGTGGCTTTTTTCCGCGATCGGTCCCAGAGAATAACGCCAAGCAGTGGCCGTTTTTGGCACTTCCACTTGGTTGCAACGTTGTTCGAACTAGATCAACAATAATTATTGAGCCGTTGTGCTGTCTCAGCAAATGTTGCTATTGAGATCAATGTCGTCATCGACCGTGGGGCGGAGCACGCACTATCGCGGTATCGTCTTCGAAGATATCAGAACGGTTGGTCTGTGAGTTGTGTTGAAAAGTGGGGCGCGAAAGGATGCAGTTAAACGAGCAAATGGGAGTAGCTTTCATAAAAGATCGGCCTGGTTGGGTTTGCTGCTTTTGCGCTTATCACCCTTGTACCAGTATATAGTAACAGTAGCTGCTCTTGTTATTGTTAAGAGCTGTTACTACCTGCTATCATCAATTCCCTCGCTTTGCTCCGATTCTTCCAGTGTTTCTGCGTTCGTATTAGCTTAGCTGGCCTTGGCCTCGAGACGTACGAGTGCATGCGCGCGGTGGCGAGCAAAACAGTAAGCGCTACGCGTGGCGCATACGACGATATATGACGGTTCAAGGTTGACGACTTTGACCTGCACTCACTGACTGACTGACTGAGAGAGAGGCGAACGTATCTGTATGACTGTCGCAAAGATAACCTTATTTTTATCAAAAAAAAACCCGCAGCTCTAAACCGGTGGGTGCTGCAGATCGCGTTCGCAAAGGGCGTGTCAGGGCAGTGGATACGACTCTTGACTCTGCTTACCCAATAAGTGCAGCGTCTATCTTTGTAGCACGAATGCGATCCAATTCCAGAGCAAAAAATACTGCCACAAAATTAGAGCGGATGCCAATGGCGCTATTATCATTCTCTTAAGCAACAAAACGCAGGTTGTTTACCGTTGGCTACCGGTTTTAGTCTCGTTTGCTGCTGGTACTATTCCTGAGTGCTATAGCTGTATGTAGGTTGAAGTCTTTGCATTGTTAGTACATCGAAGGCGGGAATCGACAAGTTTGTAGGCTTCCTGTTATTCCCCTCACAAATTATTAATATAGGTTTCCTTTTTCCTAGAGGAAGAATAAAATTGGTAGCACTGGCTAACAGGTGCTGATGCTGAAGTAATTTAATAGTATGTAGTATTTAATAGATGATGAAGTAAGAGTTGGCTAGTAAGTGGCAACGGTAGTTACTTCTGAACTAGCTAATCTGAACTCATCTCTTCTGGCTGAACAAGTGTGGATCTCACTATCGATGCCACTCGAGTGAACACCAGTCGCTAGTGTTGTTACATAGACAATATCATGCTAAGCGTGCGTCTCTCATACGTCCGAAGCTTGAAGGGCATCTCATTTGCACCAGTATTCTGTGACAATGGCAGCTTCCTGATAGCCGAACGTGGATTAACTCACGGAAAAGAAACCCGTCAACACTGATTTAAGAACCAATCGGACTATGCTTTTTGGCCAGCCAATACAGCCGACGCTACAGCCGCTAGAGTCACCGTCATAATCACTGTTTCTAACGAAATAACAACGACACAAACAATTTTACTACAACAGTCATGACAATTGGCATATCATTACGGTCACCTACGACATCAGAGCACGGGTGTTGTCTCTGTATGCTGTACACCAGACCTTACCTGGTTAGTACGGTTTTCCGCAACTCGGCCCATCGCAACCAACACCCGCCCGTTAGTTCCATACCCCCTCCCCATCCCCCATGTACAGGTCAGTCGATACCTCCTGCTGGTATGATTAGTCAGCAACAAAGACAACAGTAACGACAAACAAATAAATCTATCACTTTCCGCCGTGTTCCTTTTATTGATGTCTCATTTTCTTAATCGATCGTTATCAACCAGCCATGCATGGGAATCTGCTGCTTTTTAGAAATCGACTATTTCCTTATTCTGCAGGGGCAAATGTTACGCCTGCTTCTAGGGCTAGGGCATATGACACGGCATCGTAGATGCTTTAATTTTGCACGCAAGTGTCACTACGTAGATCGACATCAAGCAGCAATAAATTCAGCCGTTAATATCGGTAATATAAAAGTAACTGTCTGTGTGAACAAGGTGAGAAGCGATGCCCACTTCGTAAAAGGTTATCATCATTACCGTGCATCGTCTTAGCTGTCATCCGACGCGCGCAGTCTATATCGTCGCTCAGCATCTGTATATCTTTCTCGTATCTGTTCTCGTATCAAAACTGTTCGTTATTGGATAGCGTAGCAACGTCTCACCATCACCAGCATGGAAGAGCGAACGCTGTGACGTGCACCAATTCTCCGAATTAGCGTTACTACTAGTAGTAGGGGCATGTGTGATATTATCACTCTGGTATCTCTTAATTTGTTTTTTACTTCATAGAGGACATAACGCTAATCCGCACAGAGGTTCTCTATGGCCTTATCCACCGTTCAAGACAAAGTGGAATCACCCGCATCCAAATAATCCGGGTTAACCTAATTATTTCTTTGTATGTCCACGCGGCTGATGACGGCCCTGTCGATTGGAACGCACGCTCCGCTATCCAGCCAAGTTATGTCCACTACTGCACGATTTAACTAATGAAGGAAAAAGCGCGCAAGCACCGCTAGATTTTCGTCACTGACTGTTCGTCACTTCGAAGCTGTCATACGAAGACGTCGCAGACAGGCAGTCTGTCCGAATTGTGGTCGTAGATCAGTTCTCTGTTGCCACCAAAAGTCTTAAACTGCTAACGCACCACAGCAGCGACACAAGAAAGCGCTGACAATGTTGAACGACTAATGATAACGATGAAACGACGACAGCGACGGTCACGTTCACCGAAAAGAAACTAAAGTTGTCGGCCGCTACGAGACCTACTGGGGAATTTGCGGAACCAGCCACTACGACAAAGCGGTAACAGCGACAGCACTAGTGACAATATTAACAATGTTCCTGTCCATAACAGAAAAAGTAAAGATAGCGTATTCGATGATTAGGTTAAGAAGTTGAGCCTAGTGATGGTATCTGACGATAGAAACGATGCCGAAGGCAATGGAAATAGCGGCAAAACCCAGCAGGCATGTTAACGCGGAAGTCGAACCATGTCAGCAGCACGTACATTTTGCAATGCAATTCCCGGCGCTCACTGTCACTCGATACGTTTGGTCGCCCAATGGTGTCGCGTTGTCGTCCCATGTCTCTGTCGTCGATATCTTTTCCAGGCTGCGATTAGATCAGCCTGAACGGGTCCGTTTCTGATCAGAGATAGAGGTAGACTTTGCCACAAAAACTATGCCTCTTTAGGGCCTGAGATTGTAAGGCGATGTTGTTCATTCTTCGAATTGAAACGCAGTCCGTATAACCAGCAACTCTTAACGGTTGTGTTGTTATTAGTCAGGCGTTTTTGTTCGCAGTTTTTGCTTTGCCCCTTCTCTCTTCAATGACAACTTCAATGTGGCCGACTTCCAGCAACAAAACAACAAGATCTTGCCTTTCACCGCGAGAAAAACTTAAAATAAACAGCTGAGCAGTGAAAAACAAGCGATGGGTGTTATTTTAATAGCTTTCTGGAGAACAGATACCCAGCAACGTTTATTCAATCGGCAGCAAACAAACTTTCCTAAAAAAACCGAATATGTCTAGCTAATTGATAGACACGACCCGCACGGAAACACGGCCGCGACGTGACTGGTACTTAAGCCGTTAGACATTGCTTTAGACGGCTAGCTCTCAGCACAAAACGAAGTGTTCCTACGCGCGGTTTCGAAGCTAAACCACCACGTGTCCCAAGGTTTAGTGGGCGAATACGTTACCACTGCACCAACACGGGGACAACGGTGCTACGCAGTCACTCAGTGCCGATAGCCAGCCCTCTGCTTCTGCTCTTCTAGAACTTTGCCTTTTTCGCCACCAGAGAGAGCGAGAGAGAGGGCTTGTAACAACCTGGTCGATCAAAGGATAGCAGACGACTGCCATAGGGAGTGAACGTCCTAGTGGCCCTAGTGTTCCAGGAGCAAGCGCCAGCTGCTAATCGTGTTTATACTTTGTGTAGATGTGGATGTGTTGGAACAGAACCGCGGACCCTGCATGCGATGGCGAAGCCTTCGTCAGGGTTCCGATAAAGAGAAATGGTAAGGAACAGTTTTTGAAGGGCGGCTGATTTCGCGCCGGCGTCACAGCTAAACAGGAGCCGAATCATAGGCAGAGCATACGAGGGACTGTTATGTGAACTGAAAGAATATGAAGATGCACCGGGGTGGTCTCGAATGGCCTAAAAAATTATTTATCATATAACTTGGGCGCAAAAATTTACATATCACAACACTTTACGTGTAACACAAACTGTACAACCTAGGTAAATGAAGAACGTCATTGTATATTAGGTAGCTTCACACTAACTTGGAACAAACTTTATCGTTTCGTTGGCTCTTTCTCACACAACATGATGCTGACCGACACGCATGGCTATAATCTTTGCGCAGAAATGGATGCCAGTAGAAATTCGATGAAGCCCTAAATATCTACGTACAAAAAAACTGCTCGCAATTTAATGTATTTGAAAACCTATTTCCTAAAGAAGAGGATAGCGGGAGAATTGATACAGCTGTGAAATCACCATTCCTATGCAAAACTCTTTTACAAAATGTAAGCTACATTCACTCCTAACAAGAAGATACAGAATAAATTAAAATTTAAAAATCATTATATTGCTAGTTCGATTCAACTATAATCAAATCAAAAAATGATGGACTCGAACTTCAAGTCCTTTTTATGATTTTTATTGCCTTGTTTTCTGCTTGTCTGATTTTCGTCATTTTTACCAGACTTGAATTAAAAAGTATTATTCTTATTTTCATTACTATTAATATTTTAATTCTCGATTTTATGTAAAATTATGCGAGGTGCACTGGCGACACATCTTAAAGGTATTTGCGAAACAAACACTAAATATAGTTAATTTAAATTTCCAAAACAAATGTAAACATCTCGAAAGCGAGTCTTGCGCTTCGCAGCTTCATTGGACACGAGTGCGACGATGGACCTGAATAGAAATAATTCCTGGAAATGGTCAAAGGAAACGTGGCAACACTGTCTTTAGTACTCGTTGTGCCTTCTAGACTCTTCAGCATACTCATGTAGTAGCTACTGACGGGTTGGATATTATACATTTCGTTAAAATTCGATCACAGAAGATTTTTGTATGATTTGAAAAAACGACTTAATTATTTTTTTGTACGAGCCGACGTTGTAGCTGTGTAGGAGTAGCACACTATTTCAAGTTAACTGATCGTTAATGATTGTAACGCATGATTTTTTGTCTGCGTCAATTCGCATACAAACGCGGCCGATCTCTGTATATTTATATATATTACGGCAAGCAAGGGCATTCATTATCACTAAAACAAGCTGTTTTGCGATCGGTTTTTATGTATCCGTGCGTGCGTACATGCGCGAATCTCGAGTATCGCCTCGCAAGTCTTTGTCCGCAGTGATGATTCGGTAGGCATTCCCGTGATTATTAATATTATGCAAGATTTAATGGATAGGCAATTAAGTTACTAATGCCCTTTTAATATGAATTATTTTTAATAGTTGTGTGGCGTTGTTGCTGGTGTTGTCAGGGTGGCAAGCCGTTCTTGCGCGCTCTAAACAAAGTACATTTTTTCATGTTATTTGGTACTGGGCAAGCCTGATTTTCTAGGACAGGTTCTGACCAATTGTCGATTATTTTATGATATTAACAATTTAATTAAGCCGTCTATTCAGTTCATGGGCCAGTTTTCAGTACGGTAATTTATTAAATCATAGTCAGGCTCACCGGTGTTTTGTCAATAGTAGTATGAGCATTTCATACTGTCGTACAACATTATCATGCATACATTCATCCTTCGTTTAGCCGCTGTCACCTTCCATTGTATCTCGCTATGGCAAACATATCTGTTTTAATCTATGCCATTTTACCCGTTCGTCTGCTTACTGTGTTCGAACGGTCAGCGCGCATTAGCCGTCAATCCCTAATAAGAGCAACTCGACTTTTACAGAAAGATAATGATTTGTCTTTTTAAACGACCTACAACTGACCTCTAGACACTCGACGGCCGTTTCGTCTTTTTTCATTCTACAGAGTAATATTCTATTTAGTATGCGTGACACTTCTACTTAGATGGCCTTAAGCTAGTGCCTTTTATTGCAGCGCTAACAAGCAATGCATGTACACTGTTATCAATAGCCTACATAATATTTACAGTTAGTGAATACGCTATATTATTGTATTGTTTGTATACTTTTTATTACTCCTTTATTACTTTATTATTATTATTACTGGTAGCAAGCAGTCAAAACATTTGTGACCAGCTTAGGTGATAGTCTGCAGTTAAGTTTTATTGTGACTATTTTTCTCAGGAATCATATGATCTTTGTAAACTGGGAGCGAGTTATTTAAAGTTATGCGGTTGCTTAAGCTTCTCAAAAATAGGGTATATATTCATATCTATTTATATGTATGACTTTTTAATGCTAGATTCACTCATTCTACAGTTTCATGGTAAGGGCAATAATACCCGCCATTTACGTGTACTTATTTCTTTCTATTTTTTTTTAGTGAGGGAATCTCTTCTGCTCCGTCCAGTTCAGAGGCATTAGGAGCTACCTAGTAGAATTTCTAACCGTCAACAATCTATATTACAAGTATAGTGCGGAACGTAACAAGACATCAGCGTCGCATTAGTATTGTGCGATGTGAATCTATTCAAGCTTATTTCACAAAATCAGCTACGTACAAATTGATTTTTTCAGTATGCTTCCTAAAAACGATCACAGTAAAATCTAGAATGTATAGCGTAATTTCTGTTAAAAACAAACAAAAAATTGCTTATAATAAAGTACCAGGAAAAATGTTTCTATTAGCTAAAAAGAAGTAATAAATGATCACTTTTTGAGAAACACGCATTTAACACACTATCAGAATTAATAACGAGTTCATTGAAAAAGTAATCAATAAAGCATACATACTAAAAATAAACAATGGATATTCTACCTTTAATTTCTTCACAAAAATTTGCCTTAAGATGGCTACCATTTCTTAACGTGCCTTAACAGTTATAACAATGAAAACACATCTATTGGTAGCCGATTGTGCTTAAGGACAACAATAAAGGTTGCATAAATTAGCTGCATAAAAACATCGTGTCAAACTGCCATTTAATCGATAGCTTCGTACGTTCAATCTGATTCTGTATCATTCTGTTGAGAAAACTATGGACTGTACGTTGTTGGTTGCGTACGAAAGCAAAAAAAATTGCAAACGATCTGTTTTCCGTTGCGTTTTTTCTTTGCCAGTTTTCTTCTAAATATGTCTATATGTACATATATGACTGTATAAAATAAATACCAAAAACGTAATTACAACGAAAAAGTCGGCACATTAATGCCCAGTCAAAATCGGCGGTTCAGTCAACAACGCGTAGTAAAGAAATGTCGGCGCTACCCATTTCTCCATATAATGGCTTAAAGGGGCAGGCCCTTTTATATTCCATCCTGAACCGCTTGGAACTTGTGCGGTGGAAAAGAACGGGCCAGTTATACATATATATATATATATGTACATATATATGTATATATATATATATATATATAGGAGTTGAAAGATTATTTGCTTTATGACAAAGAAGATCCCTATAGCCGTCGGGCAAAACATGGATGTCGCAATGTGTTTGTTCACTAACAATGATGGCATGAGCGTCTTGATTGAATAATTAATGTCAATTGTACGATATCATGACGTATCACGACTCACACCCAGTATTGGCTGACACATTACTAATTGTGACATACCCAATATTCCATTTACTTCGAACTCATAAGGATATTATAATATTAATAATAACAATAGTTGACGTTTAGACGCAGTGGCTGATACCATTATTAGTTATATTATTTCTTAGAGGATAAAAAGAGTGCATTGAAAAGTAAGTCTTTCGTTAAATTGCGTGCAAAAAAAAATATCGATGGTTCTAAAATTCCTTAGCCAGATAGAAATTCATGGTTAACCCTAATGTATTTGTTCCATGACTATATAAATAAGGAACCGCATTCTAATCGTTGCTGGCATACTGACGCTAAAATTCGTCCTGAGTTAGATATAAATCGTAACACAATGTTTTTTTTTTTTTTCGTTATCTCGATAGGGTTTCAGTAATAGCTTGAGAGATGTTTAGGTTCCGAAAGCTTAGCGTTGGCTATCATGAGGTCGTTTCAGCTATCGGTCCCTGTAGTATTCCTTCGAGTGTTGATCTCCTGACCTGTGATGGCCGAATTGTTGTTGTTGCTGTTGCTGTAGTTGGCAGTCCTTTCGCATTCTTTTTAGTTGTACTTTACGCAGATCAACCATGAGATCACGTGCCTGATACAGCCACTGACCAACCTAAAATTGGACAGGAGCAAAAACAGATTTAAACGAGGAACGAGCATAAGCTAAGTAAAACCAAACTCGGGTCGTTGCTATAGGCAAAAATATCAAACGTTAGTGGCAGCCTACAGTCACCCACTTTCGTCTCGAGAGATGCGACTAAGCTACCATGTCCGTACCATGAAGAGGCAATTAAGCAGAAGTGGCACCGAATAGATTGTCGAGATAAAGAACCCTTGCGAGTCAAAGTATTGCTGCTTGCTGAATCTGAAATAACAATGAGGCAAGATGGACGATATCAGCGAAACTAATAGCCTCCAGAGATATAGCAGTCTAACGTTTGATTGTCCATTCTCTATTGTTAAGCCCATTAGGTTCCTTAACGGTGGAAAAGATATAAGGTAGCTGAGCGTGGGATTAGTTCAATTATAAGGAAAGATAATACATTTTTTTACTTTTTACGGACAAACGAGAAGCACATAACAAAAAACTGTCGAATTACCTGCTCCAGTTATGAGCTGCCCATTCATTGATTGAGTCCGAGAGGTAGACCAGTGCGAGCATCGTTGTGAAGAGAATGACTTGAATATTATTCCGCGATTTGGTTGCCTCAATAAATAAATGGAATTATAAGTGCCTTGAAAATTAATTGTATGATGAAAATTTTGGCTTTAAGAGAACTGGCTAGATCTAACAAATTTCCATCGTAGCTATTTTGTAGTAATAAGGGAAGAGTGTGTACTGCTATCTTGAAAAAACCGATAAGTATATAATCGTGAACGGTTTACTGAACTGAAAGGGGAATCATAAACAAGTTCGTTATATTAATTATGACATTTTACAGTGTTATTTATAGAGATGCCGCAATACTTCTCTTTTTACGAGCGTCTGCCCCATTTTGCTGTGAGGAAGTTTAACTCGGCATACTTTAGCTTGTTTTAAATCAATCATGACGTGCGTCAAATTTCAAATACTAAATGAACTTGTGTGTTTGTATGTTAACACAAGATACGATACCATTTATTTGAGACTCGAGGTTACATATGGATCGCCTATTTGGCTAGAGCGGATCGTTCCCGATACGGTTCGATTAGCTCTATAACTTCCAAAGTTCGTGCGGCTATCTAATTGGTTCGTTTAGGAAACTGGCTAACGAATTAGTATGCAAATGTTTGACATCAAAATAGGTTACCTAATTAGATCTTCGCCGTAGCCTAATCGTCATATATCCAAATGATTCTTTCATGACGATCTACCATAAAATTTCTTTACATCGACCGGTAAACCGACCTTGTCGGCCTGAATGTGATCGCTTACCTTTTGTGACAACCTCTAAATTTTCCCAAAAGTGTAGAAATATGTAAGAGTAAGTCTAAACAAAAATAAAAACGTCAGCAGCGCATGAACTTACAACGGAGAGAGTAAGCATAGCGCAATGAAAGGCGATCAGCGCAATAATCCATGGTTCACGAAAATCAACCTGAAAAAGATATACGGTAGATAGAGAGGAAAACAATGGTTAATACAATTAGTAAATAACAGGCGCATGCTTAACCTATTTTCATTTCGAATCGAAAATTTAAGTGACATGGGGTGTTGTTAGTCTAAATAATTAGATTTGTAACAATAGATTTGTTAGATAATTCAAAATGTTTTTACTTTTTCAGTCAACTGTATTCATAAAAGCGTGGTAACTCACTGAAACATATATATACCCACGATGCATTTTAATGACCAAGAGCATTATCGTTATTAAGATAGGTCTACAATGAGTGGCTATTGAACAAATGACGAACCTTGCTGATAACAACGCCGATGGAAAATTCGGCGGGAACTTCCTCGAGTTGTGGGGGTTGATCGGTTCCTGTAGCACTAGATTCAACAGCATCACCCATTGTCATTGAGTCTTCCTCTGTCAAAAACGACACGACACACTGACTACCTGCAAATTTAAAAGAAAGTAAATCTTTAAAAAATGAATATCAAAAAGTTTTAATTTATAGATCACTAAAACTTTCGGATACGATAAAGTCTTTAGCGACACAATCCTAGGAAATGGCGTAATTCCTACAATAGATCTAGTCAATTAGTTGGTATTTATTTTCGCACTAAATGACGCTATGAATAATGGAGGTAACTGCTTACAAAAACAAAAATAACGAAAGAAATTTGTTAACCGATCTATGATATATATATATATATATATATATATATATATATATATATATATATATATAGTCTTTAATAATAATTTTCTAAAAAACACGAATGAGTGTACAGATTAATAACACGACTTGCTATACAAATATTGTTGTTGCCGTCCTACTCGTGACTACACTTCTCTTCCGGATAGAGACTTTCAACAATTAAATTGCTAACGGGCATAAGTTCACTATTTTTCCCGGTTGTGCAAGTCGAATTTGCTCTATTCGCGCGTCTAATTGAGCAACAACGGATACTCAGTAGTATTTTCTGGCACGCGGTGGCTATTTGAAAATCAGCTCGGAAAAATTATTCTGGCAGTATTTCGTAGTAACATATTTTTTGATAAAACTAAGGATTTATTTAAGGCAATCTCTTCTTTAAGATAAATGCATTTTGCTAAGGTCACATTTAATCGTTCAATGGAAACCAGTTCGACGCCTCATCCGAATTTTCGAAAAGACTATGTCTACTAGCCTGATTCGCTCTATCGAATCTTTAGCGGGGTCGATGACAATAAAACGCAGTATTTCGACGACTTTAAAACGTCTCGGCGAACTGCCTTTAATGACCATTATAAGGAAATTAACGTAAAGATCTATATAATTTTTTGTCCTCGTCATTTAGACTAGGCTGCAAATACAATAAAGTCTCTAAGACACATTAAAATATGTTGTCCAAAAGATCATTTTCGCTGCCTAAAAAAGACATGAAATATCGATTATCTCCAAAACATGGTTTCGGCCATACATGTAATTTTCGTTCTATTGCTTTCAAAAAACGCCCCGAATTTCATATGGTTTTCAATCAATCTCATATGGTCTGAGTCGTATTAACTGCTTTTTTCAAAGTTTTCATATATTTATAAAACCGAAGATGTGTTACCGGTATTGCTAACAATACCTTCATACGGTTGGACGCTTGGTAATCGATGATCGATTCGCGTGCTCGGAAGAAGCCATATAATCAATACATCAGACATAACCGAAGCTTCCTTCTTCCTTGTGACATCGTCAATATATTAATGATTTGATTTTTCTGCTTGTGGAAAAATAGGCCGCGACCTTTCAAATTAGTTAATGACAATTCCCATCGTATGGTACTCATGAGTAATAGTGCGCATAACGGTAAAAGGCTTAAAAAATATCTATCTAGAATTCTATTAGACCATCAGAATGGCAACCTATAACAGTAGGTTTGGCACGTCCGATTTCACTATGATTGTTGACGAGATCAAGTTGTTCATCGTAAATCTATCGACGAAAAAAGTTCTGTCGTACGCATCCAGATAATAAAAAGCATTAAATAGATAAGAAAGTAGAAATTACACACACATGCAGTTATAGTTTTGCGTGCGTGTTTATGCAACATGAACGTACGGATTCAGAAACAATAACCAATACAACAAATACATTGTGGCGCTACGATATCCTGTTTGAATATCCTGGCTGAGCCGGAAAAAAGAGTTTGCTGATAGAATAGATTAACCTTGAAAAATGGCAGTTAGATTTCATAAATCTAAAACTACCTGCTCATCGCTTCCAGCAGCATGGATTTCAATTCAGTCTTAGACTTTTCATAAAGGTTTCCTGAATGTACTTCTTTCCACAACAAACATGAAGAAAAATAACAGAAAATTCCAGACGATCATCGCAACGAAGTCCCTCCTCATCGTAATGCTCCCCAACCCCATAGTCACCACATGAAGAACCTTTTACACCAATAAGCGCCGATGCTTCTTCAACGACAACAATAGCTATAGAGGTAGTATGCGTTGATATGATTGACACATATCGTCTAGATTAACAGAGAGAGAGCAATGAAATACCGCGAGACCGGCGGCGGAAGACAGATTTTTTCAGTCGCGTCGGAAGCGAGCCACCGGGGCTTACCGCATACACCGTGCAGGCTTACATAAAACTTTCTCTTGCATGACATACACATACAGGAACGCCGTTGCGGCAGTGTTGCCGTCTAACGATGAATGGTTTCCGAAACATCACCATGTATCATATAGCTGTTACCACTCACTGGGACACCACCACTTCTGTTGTTATTAGTGCCACTATGACAAAATGACGAGATACCTATGACTGTCACAGCTAATAGCGATACCCACGCAGACGTCCAGCCAGAATGCTATTTAACTCGTTCTCCCTATATGTATATGTGTCGGTTTATGCATGAGTGAATGTCTGCCTGTCTAAGCATAGCTATGGTAAAAAAGGCTAAGAATGTTTTTCGGACCGATTTCAATGGCACGTTTCTCCAACAGCAAAGCGACAGTCGCTGCGCTGTGAGCTGACAAACGGATGAGTCCAAATTAGTCAATCTTGCTATACGGCCTGACCTGTTGGTTGCTGCTGACGTTCTTGTTTACTAGATCAACGTTGACTGTACTAAGTCTTCTATGCTTTAGAGCTGAGCACCTCAACAATAGTGATGAGTAATAGCGCAAACGCCCAGGATTTTTCCAGGATGAGCTCCCGAGAGGTTGTTAGTCCGCAGTCAGTCACTGTGTTAAAATACTACTTCTATATACAGTGGCGGTCACGCACGGTACATACAGAATTAGTAGCCGTCGACAACACAAATGATCATTACATAGTATCTGTTAGTGACGGGAACAAATCAGCAGCGTCAATTGAGCTATATCGGTTGGGCACCGTTTGCGATGCTATCCTCGCTGCCTCTCTGGCCAGTAACGACCACCCGATGGACGAAACTATCGCTGGTTGGCTCGGAAGGAGAAGCTGCTATCGCTGCTGCTGGGTGGACCTAAACAAAGGCTGCCGACGACCAAACAAAAGAGCAGACTGCTGTGAAGAGCAGACGCAACGTCGACTAGAGTGATCCAGCGTGCTGCTACTATTTCACAGCTGTGTCACGTAGCCAGCACCGGCGGGGAGAAGGCCGATTTGGGTTAGATAATGGTATGACTTGGTATGTGCGCATTGGAGACACACGAAGTGGACAAGTAAGGGCCGCGTCTGTACGACCGAATATTGATGTCATGGTCGCGCAGGGCATGCTTGACAGAAGTCATAAGGTTAACGCAGCCGATAGCGTTGCGGGTGACATCAGCAGGGTAGACACAGTTACCGTTGCGATCGGCAGGTCGGCAAATTCGTCGTCGTCTGGTTCGAAGAAATCGAATAGAAAAGACAGAAGATCTGAATCATTCATGAACTAAGTGCACTGTCTATGATCTATTAAAACGGCCATAGAAAGGAAGAAGTACAGACAGTGGAAACAGATACGTCAAAAATGCTGTGTGTCACCTCTTACTGTTTTCAATACTCAAGCATCCATTGTTTGGGAGAGATGAAAGATCTGTGGCTGCATATGTGTGTGTGGGCATGTGCATACAAATAAATGTCGATCTTGGCTTTCCTTAACTTAACCTTTATTGATAGTAAAAACAGGAAAATAACCTGTACCGACCACAAACTTATTACCATGGAATTATAACGATATGCAAGCCAGCTTCTAATAACATTCGTTTTAATAATACTCTGCTAAAAATTTTATTATGCACAGCTGATAGACCGAGCAGCGCCTAAGTTGATTTTGAAAAGAAGCCAAATCGATATTGTTCTTCTTTTTCTGCTTTAGGGAGCGTGAACTTTCATCCTATATTGTCTGTACTATCGTAATAGGAAAAGTTAAAAAAAAAAACGTACATTTCGAGACTGTGTACACGCTGTACTGCGGTGATAGTGTGCGGCTATATAAAACAACGCTATTTTTATAGATGGTCAATGCAAGAGGAACGCTAGCGTATTAGCCTAATAAAAACCATTGGATGTGGACGTCAATATGTTAACTGAACTTTAAAAACGCCCGCCTTCCTCCATTTCGGAGAAGGGTATCAGAGTAGCGATCGTCCGAATCACGGCGCGTTCGAATAGTTAATCGGAGTTCGCCCGTCTAGCACACGCGCCCCGTACATTGTGTTTAAGCAGATACAGCTTTCTTTTGGCTACAACAGCTATTCTATTGTACACTGAAGGTGAACTCTCCCTCTTAACTAAAACAATCGTGCAAACAAACACATTTGAGTTCTTGCCTATTTGATCGCCCAGCATTGTCCGTCGCCAACCCTCACCTCAAGTTGCTACAGTTCGCTCTCTCCAGTGCCATAGCTGATTACGATCACACGTACGTTTCTGCCATAGACACCCTGTTTTCTGGCAGAATTTAGTCTGTCTACTGGTAAAATTAACGATACAGGCCCGAACAAAAGTACAGACAAATACAAAGCAAACCGTACAGTTTTCTTCGCTGTTAGTATTTTGTTAGGAATTCACAACAGCAGTGTTAATACCAGAATGCATTTATGTTGTTTTATAAACGTTCAGTCCCATATTTCAGTCTGAAATTTAGTTGTCACATTCTCCTTCATTAACAGCAGCAGCGGCAGTAGTCTTCCTGCGCAAAAGGAGTTCTGATGCTTTTACATGTGCTACCTAAACGTCTGTCAGTCTGGCAACCTCTTTTGTCAACCATAGCGTGCCTATCCACTCTTGCCATTGCTTAGTTTCCGCGCGAGGTGTGCTGAGCAGGTACCCGCCGTCAGGCGCCTGCGGCAAAATCAGCGGGGGGTTAGTCAGCTGCTGAAATCAACCATCATCGCCGTCTTGTACGTTGGCAGTATCCAACATTGGCTGTGAGGGCGAGAGTTGCTGTTAATGACACAGGTAATCTATGTAGAAATGTAACGTCCCTGTGAAACGAGAGGCTCTGCTAAGAAAATGTGATGACAGCACCGCCACGTTAGCCTCTAGGGATGTGTGTAAGGCCGCCTAAGGCATGTGGCCAAGTAAAGAACCGTTTTTCTTCAGTTATCGAGGCAACTCGGACAGCAACCGGAGCAGCAATTTACAGCACCGATCAGCGCGTAGTGGCGGTACCATTAAATGGTCGTAGTGGAGCCAGGACGAGCGACGGATCGATTCCCCAGCAGTCATTTTTGAAGTCTGGAGAAGTTGTGCAGCCTGCAATGTACCGTTCACAGTAGCGGTGAAACCAGTGCAAAAGCAGTTGTTTTCGCCTCGCCTCGCCTTGCCCTGACTTTTAGCGCGATGGACTGATCCTGTGATTATAGATACAGGCGGCGTTGGTCGCGTCAGTTTGTGATTCTTCTGCTTCGATTTGCCTATTATTGTGTGAACGTTTTTGCGCTTGTAAAAACTTCTGCTACTTTGCCCCGTTTCTTCTTGTTGGAAGGCAATCGGATGACCGGCAGCTGGTGCTAGACTATGGAGGATCCATATCCCGCTTGTAAAGAGTAAGTGACACTGAGAACTGTGTTCATATTGACTGTAAATCTGTGCTTGAGTAGTTATTGGTACATGAGTTGTATGCCAATACTGATGAGAACAGAAAAGAAAAGAAAATGCAAACGAACTGTGAGTGGCTGCTAGCTGACTTTTTACTGGCTTCGCTACCGACAGTTTCACAGCTGTCACCGCATCACGACAACAAATGAGCATAACTCTTATTATTATAAGCAATTTGTATGTGGGTTTAGGCTACTTTAATTCAAATCAAGTAGGCTTCAAGTCGCCATTACTAATAGTGTTTCTTTCAAATAACGATGTGCGGGTTTGGACAGTTAAGTCTTTGGTTGAATGAAACCAGGAGTTGCTGTTCCGCCAACGACGAAACTACGCAACTTCTGTGAATAAACAAAGTCATTATTATTTGTATATTTGGCTTCTAACAGAACAGTGCTTTTCGTCGATGCCTGCTTAGCTGATCTGTGAATTGGTAGTAGTCGTTACTCGTGGGCGCATTCAACTTAAGATGCTGAAGGTCTCCGACGATAGAAACAAGTAGACCACGGGCGGTTCTGCTATACATGTTTTAACTTTAATGTTGATTGTCGCTTCTTAAGTATGAGCGTATCTAATAGAATAATAATAAATACGTATATTTCTCATATACAAACTATCTAATATTGAAGAACGTCACAAACTGAGAGTCGTAATAATGATAGTTTCACGTGTAATAATAAATCTTCTTAACGTTGGCTTTGATAGTCGCTCTGTTCTCTGAAGTTATTTATGGTCAAAAGTATGAAATATATAATATAGTAGCTTTGTTTCAGAAGCAATTAAGGGTGCCGCTTGATTCTGTTAAATCCTAAATACGGAATCAGATATATGTTTGTAATTCAAACAATAGAACTAAAGTTGTACATTTTATACATCAGTGCTATTCTAGTTTTAAGGGTATGGTTTAATCAATTAGTTCGTAAAGCATGCCACAGGCAATGATTTCAGAACAGGGGTTCGGCAATGGCTAAGAATTACGGTTTAGAATCTTTCAAAAACTAGCGCTTTAAAAACTGTGCTACAACCATAAAGAAGTGCTGTATTTACCACGTCGATTCTTCACGTCGAAGACCTGATGGTGGCTTTTATAACTAGACGCGGCCTTTGGGGAAAAAGGATGACGAATGCTATGAGAAGCTTCAATATGTAACTCAGAATCAGGCTATAGCTTTTATAATAAGCTGTGAAATGATTTAAAATGGCTTAACTAAATCACGCCGGGTATAATGGTAATTTCTTTTTCATGTATGCACTAACCCACTAGTTGATTTACCACCAACTCGCCTATGTTCCGAAAGTCTTGGGAATTCCCCCTGCGATAATGTGGTGCATGGATTTCGCGTGAGTGCAAAATTATACTGAACATTTATACATCAAGTAGTTTTTCATTTATATTATTAGTTCACCTCTTACATAGTTTGCATAGTATTAGCGGGACAATAAAAAAGTCAAAGGTCGACCTTTGCTGGCCTTATATGATATCAATAATTGGTAAGGATCTCATGGATTTAGAGGTATTGGATAAGGGAATGTGTAAATCTGATTATCAGTTCTTTACTCTACCCTGTACGCTCTGAACCGTCTGTTGTTTGCTTTATTTAGGGTTTCTATTTAGATACGATAAAACACCACGAGTCCACGTTTGCGTTAGCTGATAGTATCCATTTCTCAACCCGATTACGATATTATGCATATCGCACATGTATGTTGTATCGTTAATATGCAATACTTCCGCAATATCTAATATTATTGTTATGCAATTAATTCTGTAGTACTTAACACCAGCTGCATGAAATAACTTAGTTTTTTTTTAAAGATTTCGTAACGGCTGCCACTAAATCTATTTATGTTGTGCGCATTATCTTTCGGTCACTTAAATCGAACTGAGTGAATCATAATCGGTGACCTGCGACGTCAGTTTTCCTCAGTATGTCATCGGGGCCCTTAGCTTATTTAAAAGATTATGCTTCATATTATTTTGTTTTTGATAACATATCTCGCTTTCAGCGAACGTATAGGATCGGATAATAAAAGTAGACACTTCAACCTGTTTTCCAGTGGACGTTCTTTCCGTTGCGCACAAACGGATTAACGCATTGCAATAACACTTTGGTGGTAACGTCTTCGGTCTAAGCTTTTGCGCGTCAACTGCATGACATAGAATTACCAAAGTTGTGTCAACATGGCCAGAAAATTAAACTTTCGGTGTGATGTTGGACAGCGACCACAATTGTTTTTTTTTTGAGTTAATGTTGCTGTTCGGTTCAAGGACATGTCCTATGTAAAAGAACGGTTTGTCCTGCCGCCGTTGTTATCGAGTAATATAATAATGACTTTGAATACCTTATATATATAGATCATTCCGTTATAAGGTATTCAAAGTTAAAATGTGCGATTTATTCGAAAGCGATTTCTCAGTGGCTTCTGAGACTCCAAGAATTGGCATTGTACACGCTGACACCATACGTCTTAGTCGAAAAATTAATTATAGATTCAGAGTATACTGAGTGTCTAGTGACTGACTGGACAAGCTGCAATAGAACGTGTAGATTGTTATAAATGGATCTTTCTCAGCGGAAGATTGCAAGTAGATTTAAGTTAACATGAAAGTCAGCTAACATCATTGATAGAGAAGCGATATAATCGTTTCATTCGATTCGACTAAATCATACTTAAACATGCAATTTTTTTCTTTCATTTTCACTCTATAATTAGGGAATTAGTCGAAAATCGCCTGAATTCTACGGGAGGTATGTACGACGCTCTGGTCATTTGTGCACGACATTAACTCATTATCAATGCATATTATGATTTCGCGAGATTGTACTAACTCGTAGGCTTTCTTTGTGCGTTAGAAAGACAAGATCTAATTCAATTATTTTGTTGTTAACCAATTTGTATATACTGATGTCAGGCCGTACAGATTTAGAACGATCGCTACTTTTTAGGCAAAACAAACAGGCAGTCGTTGAGGCCATCATGACAACACTGTTTAGCGAGCTTGTTGATTTGATTCAGTAGTATCAATCGAAGGTATTAGAAATAGTAACAGTGATAGGTATCACTTGCAACTATAAAGAATAATGGTCACTGAAAAATTTAGCAAAACCTACGTCCGCATATCCTGGTTTTTCCTTTGCGTGTTATCGTTGCGAAATTATCGTTCGCCGTGGGAGGGTAATGCATATGCGTGAAGTAAGTTTAACTAGTAAGAACCTTACCGACAACTAAAGAAACATTACAAATTAATAGGATTTCTCTCAAGTGCAACCTGAGTCAATGGAAATTATAATTTCTATGCTTCCAAGAAAATATTATATCGCTTCCCGTTAGATTTATATCATCTAAGTCGTAAGGGATCTGTTTCGATTCAAATCATTTTTGTGGTTACATGTTTCTGTGTGATAAAGAAGATCACCGAGTTCTTTTTATCACATAGTTGCACTCAAGATTAGATGTCGTCGTTGGAATATACATATATAAGGCAAAGGTCTTGAAAATGCAGAGTTACTTCTTTTTAAACTATCAAGAGACTTTTGCCTCAGACTTAGGTGACTATGTTAAGCGTTTAGGTCACGTACGTGGAACCATTCTTTAGTGTTGGTCTGGATGAGTCACGTGTTTTGCACGCTTTTCGTAAGTGATGTGATAGCTTCGGTTGGCCATGTAATGCTTTCCTTTTCCTAACCTCTGCTCCTCCTATTGTAATGTGCTACTTTGTGGCCTGATTTCAATCAACTACTGAATGCCTCTATCTACTCCGACTCCAGGGACATTACGCGCGCTTTGGACAAGAGTCGTCTGCTCTTCAACCAGTGGACCCAGCTCAAACTACAGAGCAAGTCCAAGGTATATGTCGAACTATCTTTGTATACTTAGCTACCTGTCCCCATAGCATTGCGCATTAATGTGTATGGGCTGTTTACATAGAATAGTTTAAGCGCTTATAATAGGAATACGTCAAATTGGTGGGCCAAGTCAATCAATGGCACTATAGTGATGATCACTGAGCGTGGGTCAATAGAATCTGGGCGGGGTTTTTACACCGCATTTGTATGTTATACCATAAATTTGCCTGTGCTATATTTGCTTAAAGTGCGAAAGTACTAGTCTTCAATAGTGCTTTTGTTATTATACAATGAATACATGGGTAGAACTTTTCTCGCTTTATTCAGCTTGTTTTCAGTTTGCGACTTTTCGTTTTATAACATCTTTGTAAGTCACCGACGTCGCCTTTTCGTAATAGTAAATTGTTCTATCTCATCATTTTCAAAGACGTAGCATTATATTTAATCTGTGCCTAGTGGTACAAGGCGATGATGCTTCAGTTTATCACGGCATATAATCCAATGTAGTCCAAGCTGTATGTCATTATCACTTGTACTGCCAGGCAGCTTTCGACTGTCGTTTTTTTAACTTTCTAATTTCCTCTACAATATCTAATTTAACTTCTCTCCCCTTTTTTTCTCGCTCTAGCTCACTCGCTTTCTTAATTCCCGATTTACCCAGTCGACACAATGCTTTCTTCTACCATGCGACCGCTGGTCTAACCTGCCATGATTAAACTTATTTTTGCTTTTTGTATTGCTTGCATCATACGAACTTTTGAAACAATTTATCTTCGATTTCTGTATCATGTTATCCATTTTGTCATTCCCGTTGTCGTCACACACTTTGTGGGGCATTCTAGGCACGGTGGCGTTCCAGCATGTCTAAAGGTATACGTTTTGATTTTTCGTGGTGTTCATATAACTATTGGATTTTGTTGTTACAGCCTCCCGTGATGCTTTTACGTAAATTTTCCTCACGTTCCAACGTTAGAAAGCGTCATTTTTAAAAAATAATTTCGGTTACAATGTTTGCTTGGTTGTAATATTTCCACATTTGTAGAATAATGAAAGGTTAGTAAATTTACTATTTGTTAAATAATAATAATATAAATAAAATTCCGTGTCATACTAGGTGACACTAGGTCAAAGGAAAAGTTCATAGACGTTCACTATATCTATTACAAAATTATAGTGTACATATACTTAAAGGCCGAGTGGTCATACAACTTGTTACTCCTTGCAGGAGGAGGTTGAGTGGACATCGAATGAACTTCGAAACTCGTTAAGGTGCGTAAGCTTGTTGATGGCAGAAAATCCAGACCTTTTCATCACTATGCAGCATGAATAGTCTCTAATTTGTGTTTACATTTATTATTAGAAACTATTAATTAGAATGGAGATGGCGTAATGTTTTTAGACTAGGAAAAATAGAACTAGATAACCTTGTCAATTATGTCTATAGAGAAAATCATTGGATCTCTGCTTGCCGCTTCCAGTTACGCGATAAAAGCCCTATAGTATTATACCATTAAAACCTTTATACCCACATCAATGATCTGTATTGACATGCAGCTAGTAAGCAGCCAACGTAACGATGAGATGAAATGATGTATAGTGGTGCATTACAGATCTGTCGATTGGGACATCGAGGATCTAGAAGAGACCGAAAATAGCTTAGAGAAAAATCCCCGGCGGTTTAAACTTTCTCGAGAAGAAGTACTCGCACGAAGGGAATTCATTGATAGAGTTAAAAATGAAGTAAGTTCTATAACTGAAACGCAAATATGTCAAATTATCTTCAAATATTTTTTTCTAGTTATTGCTAGAAACACATTGTTCATTTTGAAATCGACAACGTCGTCTCGGTAGACTGAGTGTTTACCTTTTTCCAGGTCCATTTTGTCATTCTTTTTATAAGGATATGCTTACGGCCTTTCTATCGCAAAAGTTATGCCCCCATACTTTTCTATAACCAGTCTCTATTAAACATAAAATAACGAATAGACTTACATAAATCACATTTGCACAAGTAGAGCTGCGTTGCTCTTTTTGTTTTCGACTGTTGCGGTTGGACTAGTCTGAAGTTGCTTTTGATGCGAGTCGATTTCAGTAAACGAAAATAGTCAACAATGGCTAATGATGTAAGTTATAACTTACACAATCAGCACAAGTGAACACAATTTCTTGCTTGAAAATGATCCCCTGCGTTAGAAACTTGTTTGTTGGTGTAATTTTTTTGGTACAGCTTATTGTAAGAAATTTGTTTTACCGTCATACAAAACTACCACACGTTTATCGTACCACTTGTGTAATAACCATATCACTGACCTTATCGCTGATTATTGAAGCATATCCCTTGTTGCATCTGCTTAAGGTTTACCAGATGAAAGAAAGCGTTCTCGGTGGAGATCATCAGGCTCAGAAAAAAAGCGCAAAAAAGAAACCTCCAGGGATGGTAAGGACTGCCTTTAGCGTAACATGTATATATATATATATATATATATAACATGTATAGAGATTGTCACATTTTGAGCATACATAGTAGGTAACAGCTTGCAAAACGTTTGTTTTGTCACTAATTTTCACATTTCTCCGTAACTTTCTATGAATCCCGTCAGGCTGTATATTCGACGGCTAAGCATATATTACACTTGAAGATGCCATTTTTCGTTTGTTTAGGATCTTTTTGGCCGAAGTGGGCCAGGAGGCTATACTTCTCTCCGAAATGAAGAAGCAAGCCCTGAACACCGAATTGTCATCCAAGGACGGGCAGCACAGCTTCAAAGGTCAGTTGAACTAGTGTCAGCCGTGTTTGTCAATGCTTAAGTAATTAGTTGGTGCTTTCCGATTTAAGGCGTTACTTTTGGTCTATACTTACGAATCAGATCAGACTATCTAGAACCAGAGTTTACGAAGGCATACATTGGTCTTTGATACCACTGCATATAATAGAGACAGAGTTTGATTCTCTATAAAACGCTGGAAGTTTAGAAGCTTAGCGATTCTTGCTGAATTTCGTTCTTAGACAAGACTCGTCAAGACAACGGTTTAGTACTCAGCTTGAATCTCACGCTGCATTGGTGACGCGTTTTCAGGGACCTGATAGGACAGCAGGAGCAAGAACTTGACCAGATTCACACCACAGTTGGGACTCTCAAGGTAGGTCTGTACACAGTGTGCAGACTTGCAGCGAAGCGAATCTGTTGCTGTTAAGAAACGGTCCATACATATGCATCAACCCCTTATATAATAGTTTAGCTAATAGCTGATGTTCTTTTTAATTAAGATGTACGTATTTGCTTGAAGCCTCAATGCAAAATTATCTAGACTGTACACGAATTGCCTTTCAGGTAATGTCCAAACAAATTAATAATGAGCTAGAAGAGCAAAGCGTTATGCTGGACGACCTGGGGAATGAAATGGATTCTGCGGAGAACAGGGTGGATATTGCCCTTAAAAAGATGGCTAAGGTGTGAATAAGTCTGTGAGAATAGTTTTTTTTAGCCTTGAGTATATATTAAGGTCTGTTAACTAAAAAGCGACTTTTATTTTGCAGTGGGTGTAGCTACAGCTCGAGCGATTGTGCAGACCTAATATTCCATTCGGCCAAGAAAACTGCTCGTACACGTTATAAGATCTTCCTTGTAAATATGCGTCCCTAATGTTCTTAACGAGAATACTACAGTGCTGTACTTTTTTTTTATTACAGGTGCTAAATATGTCGAACGATCGACGACAGTGGCTCGCCATCATTGTTCTATCTTGTATTCTTCTTTTTGTCATTTCCCTGTTTTTCATACTCTAGACAAACAACACCTTGGGCTTGCGTCATAAATCGTGTAGAAGCCTTTTATAGAAAGCGCAGGTGTCGGAAAGGCAAAAACAATGATTAGCCTTTTATCAGCCGAACCTTGTGCTTCCAGTGACTGTATCAGACATTTAAATCTTTGGCTGTAGCAATTGTAAGGTCGTAACTTATTGTAGCTAGCCTCCTTAATTTCCATGTGGCGCAGATAATCTAATGAACTCCAAACGAAAGTTAATGATAACCCATAGAGTAATGACCTATAATTTATTAGCGAACGCGGCATACGGCTGCAATGCTTGCGATATTGAACACAAGAAGCCGCGTACGTAACGAAGAGAATATTTTTAGGCAAGCGGAGTGTTGAACGCGGCTATAGGTCGCTCGATGAAGAGTCATAGTGCACAATGTCAATTACCCCATCACTGATGCTAACGTAAAATGCCACGAGGTAGACGGCTCGCTTGAAGGTTGTGAGTGCGTGTCACGTGTTGCTTTTTTCCTACAGTCGGCCATTATGTCGTATTTCGGGTCATGACAGCTAAGCTACTAGCAACTGAACGAATCCGAACTTCAAACGAATTCGGTGATTGTTAAAATAGGTAGGTATGTTTAAGTAATAGGTGATTTGATTGCTAAGCGAAACCATAAAAGAGATTAAAGAATAGAATCTGTCATGTAGACAATGTGATCCTACCTCTTCGATATCTCATAATACCAAAGTTGTCATATACTTACAATTTGGAAGGAATCTCGGCACGAAAACATTATATGAAAAAGTGCAGAGAGACCCACGAGTCGACAGGGCATACTTGCTACCTTTGACGATGGTTATCTCTTATTGTACAGGATAGTATTCGGGGCACTGCGGAAAATAGAGAATTGCAACCGTGGTTTCATCCATCAGAATCTGCTGGCTCACTAGTTCGTCGAAGATCCTTCAGCTATAGTGCACGCACGTTAAAATACTGGGTAATCACCAAAATCACTATTGGTCTTATATCTATATATAATATCGCTTGGTCAACTACGGTAAAAAAGTTGCTAAGTGTGAACGAAAGCAAAGAAAGCGTTAAAAGTAGATCTCTGTTAAGTAACAGAACGATGATAGAATACGAATCGAAACAATGAGAAGTATACGATATCAAGACCTTTGTAACATCGAAATGACACCCCACTTAAACGTGACAATATGCAATTGGAGTTTTGAAATTAACGACTTGGAAAAGCGTTGTTGACTATAAATAACCCATATTTACTACAAACTTACGTTAAGCTTTAAACTATAGCCATATATGCAGTTTTTATTATGCGATATTTTGCGCAAATCATTCCAGTTACGTACTAATTATTTAACGATATTTTTATTTTATTGAACTTTTGCCGTTTGCCGATGTTGTTTTTATGAATTTTTTTCCTTAGGTTTTTTTTAAAGACATAAATTTTATTTATAATTTTTTTTCCTATTTTTTAAAGACATATATAATTATATAATTTTATAATTTCAAGGAGACATTTTTCAACTGCCATATCTTAGATTCGCATTGTTTGTTCGTCTATCGATTGTCCATAAATGTAAACTTGTTAAAAAAACAAATTAGTACACTATAAAAAGATGATTAAAATCTAATTTTCGACTGTTTCGGCTCTCATATTCCTCATTAATGATCTTAGAGATCTACTGTAAATGCGCTTTGCACCAAAGATATTCTGCACGAACAAGTTGATCACGCAGAATCCGCTTTGTTGGACTCTGTGCACGGGAATATATTTTGTGTATGACAGACAAAAGTAATATTATTTAACTTGCGTTATTCCCATCGAACTATTTGCGGACACATCTGATAAATCCGCGCACCGCAAGATATACTTTCATATCCTGTCTTTAATGCTCAACACAGCTATAACACGCGTATTTAAATTCTAACAATTATGACTCTCGATGTTGTAGCTGCCCCGCGCGAACATTAGCGCTTATTTCGTGATTTACATTTTGTGATATAATACTCTCCAATGTAAGCAAAACACGATCAATTTCTGCTATATAGAGAACACGAAAAGAAATCGTCCTTCCCTCTCCAAGGCCTCAGTTTCTATGAAACAAACAGGCAACTGGGGCAAGATAAATTTCTATTAGAAACTTATCTTTATTAATAGACTCACGTATATGCCTGTTCCATGCTGCCCCTAACTCGCAACGCAAAGGAACCTAGGAAGGAAGGAGTAGTTAGCACTACTTTTATTTAGCCGTCGAATGTAAAATCATCTACTTATGGTATCAATGACTTCCCTTTACTAGGGGAGTGGCTCTTGCTGGAACTGTTCGGGGTTTTACGCACAAACGTGCAAATTTACTTCAATGATAATATTTTCTTGCTTTTTCTTTATTTCTTATGTTCCTAATTAATATCTGGAGATCATGTTGATGTTCGAAAAAGCGCGACAGGATGCTTGTTAGCTATGGATATCATAACAACGCACTCGGAAGGTAGGCGCATTAGCCAAAGCATGCCGCCTTCAGTTTTTTATTATAGATGTGGCCGGAAGACACAGGGGCAAGTTATACCTAAACGGTTGTGAATAGTATATCCTACGTCGTTGGTCGTTCGTGGAATGGTTCTACTTTAAATATCGCCGGTGGGAGTAAGCTTGAACACATGGTGTCTTACATTTAAATCAACAATTACAATAGAACAGTACCTATATCTCAATATTTCGCATACTTTTAGATTAGTAAGAGGATAACCGACAATGAAATATGGCCGGTTTCTCTCGCTGACTCCTCCATATATGGAAGCGACAAGTAGCTATGCTTTTTTGCCGTATTTTCACTTGTACCTTGTATACGATGAAACACGAATCGATTTGTCTCAATATTTGGCACACATTTATCGAATGTGTAAGACGTCGTTTATGTGCGTAGGAAATTGCGCTTTGTCTAAGATCATCGCTGATGGTAATCTACTATATTAAAAAATAATGAACGGCAAACAAGACTAACATTGGTAGCGGCTTGGGGAAGGCTTAGCACAAGGATTTGATTATTATGTTTGATACCTTCACTCCGTTCATTGTAACGTAGATATACACTATATTGCATAAAAATAACTGGACTCTAGCAGCAGAACGATTTTAATCTAAGTGATATATAGAGATAAACATATGTTATATAAAGTGTGAAATTTATATATATATATATATATATATATATGTACACGTGACACATACGCCGGCTTGATGATATTTGCAGGCCTGGATAAACGCAATGATATAGGAAATAAATGGGTCTGTAACAAAAGCAATAGAAGCACACATAACTTGAAAAATGAAAATGGTGGTAAAGATTACAAGGAAGTTAATAAAGTAGGTTCAATCTTTCATCACATTTGAAATGTATTGTTGATTTTTCTGTAAAAAAAAAAGACAAATTCTATAGGGTATACTTAGATGGAATGGATTTATTAATTACTTTTAATCCATACAGATTGTACAAATTACCCTTATTTTTCTTCAGAATGCTGTAAACATTTTAGTTCTACAGAACTCGCAAAAATTCGCAAGTTCGAACAATTCGCACTCATAGACATGTATAATCAGCTACGTGAGTCTAGTTTCGCCCTAAGCAGCCTTAAGAACGACCGAAGTAGAGAAAGGTATACTGAACGACAATATGTCGATTACATTTCTTTTCATTATGTGCGAGCTGCAGCTGTTGTCTATAGCATATAAATGTTATTAAGTAATTAATATATATATATATACAATTTAAAAAAAAATATGTTATAAAAGGCTAATAAATTAGCTGTGAAAGAATCGCGATAAGAGTTATCACAGTACCTAGGTAGCTAATGAACGTATCCTAGCATAGGTGACTTCAAGATCGTTAAGATGTCACGATTTGGATCGTAGTGAAGAACCTGCAAAACAATTCAATAGTTTTTAAAATAAAAGTGCTTGCCATATTAGTAAACGCTATCACGTAAATCATGCTCTATTTATCAAGCGTTATTATTCCAACGTTTGTTTAGCGGCAGTAGTTAAAAATTCAGGCCCGCCTTGATGGGGCATAGTAGGGTTAAACTTTCTACTGCACCGCGATGATGAGATAAAAAGAAAACACGGAAGTTTCTACACGAAGACAAAACGTGTTCAATATCCATGAACTCAATTAAATCATCAAATAAAAGGTATGAGTGTAGAAAGAGAATTTAGCTGAAAAGATAAATCGTACAATTTTGGTCATTTAGGATATGTTGTACACGTCTAAAAATTATTTAAAAAAAATAAACACGTAAGAGGTTCTGACCTGCATACTGCAGATGTGTACTTTCATTGCCTTTACGGCGGCTCAACTACTGTTCTGATGGGATTTATGCATTCAGTAACTCCATTGATTTGAATAAGTTATGGCATGTGTCATGGTATAGGAGTGAACGGTATATATTTTACTTAAAATAAAATTAAAAATAAACACCAAGACTAGTAGCTTTACACCTCGTCGTACGTTAATATTGATTGTGTTGGAACTAAATATGTCAAATTTACAATACACTAAAATGAAATGAATGCGGAAAAAGCAACAGATCTCCAACAATATCAAATACCATAGTAATACATTTTTTACTTTAATAAGCAATATAACCTAAAAACGTTTACGCTTTTTTAAAAAAAATTCGACTTCGATTAGATTCGTCTTATACGAAATAAACGTTTTGATGAACTTGATACATTATCCAAGGATCTGAAACCTTCGATGATTTTGCTTTGAAGAAATTCTGATGCGTTCCAGTAACACAAATAGAAGTTGATGTTGTCCCATAAATGATTACTATTTGCAGCAAAGGGCTCTCAATCTCAAAGATGGAAACTTTTAATTGTGACGATACGAATCGAAACGATATAGATCCACGAAAAGACCTTGAAAGATATAGGTAGTGTCATTCTCTGTTTTGCTTGGTAGCATTGAGCTTTACTCCTATGTTTCCCTAACATTTCTCCTATATTTCTCAGTATCCTGCACTACATCAGACTGCATCAGGATCGTGCGTGTCGAAAACGAATGAGCCATTGGTAATAGACTTCGATACCTAGGATGTGCCACTTGCCAATCGTCGTATTGCTGGTTCCGTCTCGGGTTCTTATCTTATTATTATAGCATAATTTTGAGCTTGTTCAGTCGTACGCGTTCGGGTTAAAACACAGGGATTTGGCAGACCATATGATATCATATAAGCTGGATTCGACCTTGTACAATAAACCCTGTCCGAAGAGCATCGTATTTGGAAAATGCAATCTTGACGTTTCTTCTTATCTGCAAGCACATATTTACGATGCGCCTTGGGTTAGTACACTCTTTGCTCCAGATCTCGTTAAACGTCAATAAATGGTCACTGGTAGGGTATAATATTCACTCGGCGCTGTTGCTGGCTAATTTTTGAGTACGTATGTTGTAACATATGTGCAAACTCTACATTACGGCTATGCTTTCATAAGCTATGAGAAATCATTTAGTGAAAAATTAATCCTACTATAAATAATAATTAAAATTACACGATCACGGTAAAAGCGGTAACAGGTACACGACAGAAAAGAGCGAACAGAGCAGTGATAATTCTAACACGATTTGGACAATTCATAGTTATAACAAACTAATATGAATGTTGTAGCTGACTTTCTACTAGGTTGACAGCAACGAAGATTCTTAAGGTGGTATGCGACGTCATACAATAACAAATATTGTTTTGGCCTTATAAAGGTTCAGAGCTTTTCGACTTACGAAGGGCGAGGGGTGGTGTCTAAAGGATGACGGACAGGAAGTGAAAAGAGAAACGAGATCTATCGGAATGAAAAAGGATGACCTTGACCATGACCAGAAAGCTTGACCAGCCCTGAAGGCATATCGCTTTATATGTCTATTGGACAGCATTGGAAATGTGGTAAAAGGAATTGCTAAGAGAAGCCTGATAGTCAAACCCAGAAAACAGGAAGCGCTATCTTCTTTTCAGTACGAATCCTGTAGAAGCCGTTTCACAGAAATTTGCGTAAGGAGGGTACTCCAGGAAGCGGAAAGATAAGAAAAAACTAGAATTAATGGTTCAGAGAGTTGTACGCACTGCTAGAAGTATGAACTCAACTTGTATAGCTGGCAAGTCATCATCGATGCCAAAAGAGAAAAGGCTGGAATCGTCTTGCTTATAAACACTGATAGCCTCGTATCTTAGCGAAAGGATAGTAACACCTGCAAGCATGACCTGCGATATGGCCGCAGGAGTGCCACAGAGATTAACACTAAAAGCGATAACAGCGACATCATAGAGCTGACGATTTAGCACTAGTAGTCACTGAACACAGCGAAATAACGCTACAAGGGAGGGCCCAAGAGGCACCGAGAAGGATCAACTATTGAACGAAAACGCACGACCGAACACTGGCCCCAGAAAAAGCGATGCGATTATGTTCATCGCAAATAGCCTAGCTAAAACCAAACCCAGCGCGTGGTGAGCAACAAAAGAAAAGCGGAGGATCCTAACCACAATGGCCGAGTCCATTGCTATGCATGTGGCAACATCATGGGACTCAATAGTTGAAACGCAATAGTAGAGCGCCCAAAAGCGTAAAGACCAATGGCAAAAATGTAAGTCACAAGAACCTACAAAACGGTGGAGACAAAGGCCTTACTTAAACAGAGCTTACGCGTGAGTTGACCCAAGTACCCACCGGTCACTGGCGATTGAAAGGATACTCCAAAAGATTAGCGAAGCACCCATTCATGATATGCGTGAGGTTGACGACACGACATGAAACTCTGAAGCCCAATTCTTGGCGAAGTTCAACGAAAGAGTCGGCTAACCCAGCCGACCTGGCGACGGAACTCGTCAAAAGAATAATAGAAATTAAGAAAAAAGGAAGCAAGAACGTCAAAGCATGGAATACACTTTGTAGAAAAAGCGGTGAAAGAACATGGAGAGCCAATAGAGACGGCTAGAAACGTGGCTATCAGGCACATAGGAGAACTGACTTTTCTAATGTTTCACCTCCGGTCAGACACACTATATTGTCCGATTGTGATCTTCAAGTAGAATTTAATTCAAGCCGTTTTTATACTGTGAAGTTTCCGAACAAGATAATTAAGCTTTAAAAAGTAGCATAAAGCTATAAACTTCGCTATGCATATCTAATCTTAAAGTAAAGCTCAGTTACACATTTTACGTATGAATAATATTTAGGCATACACCACGCATATATAGGGTCAACAATGAGAACTTCATTTTAAATAAAAATATTTTCAGAACGGTATGTGTCTTGTAGAGAGTGCTAGAAAAGGTTCACAAGTGATGTAAAGCATATTTGTTCGGTAATAAATTGATTGTAGATTGATCTTTATGCACATGAAGAACACGACGTTACTAAGGGTTCGATTCAGATTTTCCGTCGAACAGTGATCTTCTGAGAATGATAAACCCGGGCGGATCATTGAGCCAGGCACAGAGTTCGGTTAGCTGGTCAATGGTAACTAGGGCATCCTGCATATGAAGTACGAACTTTGAAATTAGGGCAGCTGCGCACACTACGATGCCATATATCGAGCGTTTTATCAGGATAGGTCCTATTCCCATGGAGACAACGGACAGGCTAAACAAGAGAACAGCAGGGAGCCGGTGTGCCTCAAAGAGCCGTTGACTCTTAGAGAATCATTCACGCAAGATGTCCTCACGAATCTACAGAGTCTGTTGAGTCGTGGTCATTATTGCTATGACAACGCTAAAGTGTATAATTTTCACGGGGTTTGATGTGGTACGAATAAGCTCAGGATTCTGACCAAAAAATGTACGCTTCGTCGGTGACGAATAGAATAAAACAGGCAATGTTAAATATTTGAATTAGCCTACGGGTAAGGAATTTATTTCGGTAGCTTCCTTTACCTCACTGTGAGACCACAAATTCATACCGAGAAACGAGCAGACGTAGAAAAGGAAGTTCACAGAAAAACGGTACGCCAACGCAACTTCAAAGGAGCATTGGCGAACGATAAGAGTCGGCTCATTGTATCGCGGCTGTATTTCAACAACATCGTGTCGGCAGAGATTGGAATAAATAGGTCCTTCAGGAGTTATTGTATTTTCAAGGAATGTGTCACAATATTTCCTTGCACTGCGTTTATTTGGAAGCCAGTTTTCGCGAGGTTGTAGAATATCTGATGACCAAGAATACCGGGCCAATATTGAATAAAATAATATATATTGCTTTCGAGTAGTAGTTGGTTTCGATATAGCACGCAATGACAGCATAAAGAGTCCACATTGTCGGAAATGCATCTCAGCTACGAGAGCTATATTCTTATCGTTCCAAATCTAACCATAGAAGCTTCATCGTATTTGTCTTTATTAAAATATATGTAAGCCAAACAGACACACACATAGATATAGCGATGAAAGTTGTGCTTGATCGACTTTGCAGAGTAGGGATACGTGTCACTTGTTGTGACATAGCGTGACAAACAGTTCATCTCCGTCTTACTGTTTTTGCAATAATCGCCATTGCCAGAGTCATTACACCCCAACAATACGCTCAAAATATAAAAGGAAACGAGGGAAGCACGTCGAAATGCCAGTATATTTGCATGCTCATGCAATTACACAATGTTCAGTGGCAATTTCCGTTACAGACGTAGCAGATACATTTCTGACGCCTTGGCCTCATCGTAGGTACAACATCAGTACCGTCAACCGATCAACACCAGTAGGGTCGCATTGATGCAACTAGAGAAAATCTAGCTAACCAGCCCGACACTGTTTTTGTGCTATCGTGAATTGTTGTGATTCACCGGTACAAAAATTGCTCTATTCCACCTGTACCTACATGACTTCGTTTGCGTTTTGGGGGAAGTTTAGAGGTGTTATACTATATACACTTTATATATAAAACAAGTTCCGTCTGGCATGGGTTTATTATATAAGAAGCGCCTGTTTGAAGTAAGTTAGTTGGTCACTAACCCGTGGGATAGGGTAGGCGGTAGCGTCGGATCTTTGAAACAGAAGGTCTCTGTTACTGTTATTATCAAACGCGGTTGGCCTATGAAAGGTTTTTATCACTATCATATGATCAATATTGGAAAAATCTTCTAAAATTGTCTTTCTATGTTTATTCTTGACAATTTGTAAGCTGTTACGACAGTACTAAAATCATATAAGCGCATAATTTGAATAATAGTACAAGCATTAGAGGAACTTCATTCGTTCACGAGCAGAACAAGATAACATCGAACCTTCCCATTTGCCAATAGTGCGTTCCTCACAGTTTAGTCTCTCCGTCTAACTTACAGCGAAACCCTACAGCATAGACAATGTAGTGTAGTCAATTAACTGTAACTAGTACGATTATGTGATTTTCTAGCGAACATTCAACTTTTCATTTTTGAAGTTTGTTAGCTAGATACCATCTGAAGTTCACTTATAGCCCCACTGCCAAACAAGCCTAACTCGTTAACGATTCTGACACGAAAACCTAATACCTATCGATTCAATGAGTTTGCGTCGCATTAACGTGCCTTTCATATGAAGTGGACTATATCTATATCTAGAACACAATTGTCACACGGAGACTGTGTGCCTATCACCCTTAGAGCTCGAACTGAACATTGGAAGTAGGATTACGGCAGCGCGTCAGGTAGACGCGACAATTTACAATGGAAAAATTTTTAGAGTTAATCTCATTTGTAAGAATAGAACACATTTCATAGATCATGCTTGCTTGAAGACGTTGAAGCATGCTCTGATGTCGTGGAGGTGCTGATTTAAAGTAGCGATAAGTTTAGTGTGACGATCTAAAATGAAGACTATGCGATGAATGAAAAGCTTGCTTTGTTAGGTGTTTAAATAATCTCTTTATTGTTCCGTATGGCAATGTTGTGATGAAGAACAAGTAGTCTACTGTAATCAAAATAGATGACATTTAAGTTATGACGATCAAGTTAAGTACACAGAAGACATTGTTCGATTCGTTCAATTTCGAAGTCCGCTGTACAGTATTTACCTTATTTATGACGTCATATGTACAGGCAGCTGCTCGTCATCTTCAAATCAGGCTGATAATCACGCATATAAAAATGGAATTTTACACAAAAGAAAAGCCCACTTTTGATTAAATTTGCGAGTGATTCCACATTTCTACTGTTTCGTTTTTTGAATTGATATTACGTCCAACGGGCGACTGGTAACTCTCTGTGTCTCTTAGTGTCGACTGCTAAAAGAGGCTCAATAATAATCACCTCTATGCCGAAAGTTAATAGTTGTATCTAGACCCCAGCGTTGATATAAAAACCGATAAAACAGCTCGTCGTTGATTCGGAGACGGATTATCAGAACCTGATGGAGTCTTTACCTAAAAACAACAAATCAAGGGCCGAAAATTGTAAATAAAATAAAATGTAGATTTTTAATCTCTTTTATCTGATTAGTAACAAGTTACGCTAGTTATTATTACAGTGCAGTGAATGCGTTCGATGAGAGCAGACAGCCAATCGTTGATCTAATCAAATCGCTTGAGTAAGATAATCGCGAATCATAAGCCCAATTTAGATTAATGGGTTTTGATAACCGGGTAGACCTGTTTATGTTGCCGGATAGAACCATTTTTAGGGATACAAATAGAAACGGACCATGACTGTTCAATATCTCCGACCACTGAAATTATTTATTCTCACGACTAGCCTGTATTCTGTTGTTGAAGACTATTTAGGCTTAATTATTGAACGCAAATACTCACGGTTTGTGTCAGGGGGTTTAACGGTTAAAGATGAAATGAGTCTCGTACTCGGCGTTTGCTGGCGTAGCAAATACGGCTGGGGCAGGCCCGTTTACTCCCCTCACTGCTGCTGTGGTCTGATATTGAGATAGCGTATTGCCAGATAGACGTAGCGGGGCATCCTGGGTATCCTAAACTTGTCGTAAAATTCAAGTATTAGTATAAGTCACATGTGGGCTCAGTGCTAAGTTATTTTAAAAGCGTCGTACCGATTAGATTTTTAGCGATATGATACAGGTAAAGTTAACTATATTTTATTTTCAGAAGTTGATGCATGCATCGTTTCGTTTCATCTTTAATGGTTTTAAATATCGTAGCCGTTTGAATGAACTAAGAAACGTTTGTAGTAACGGTCCATAGCTACAATCGCAAATCTCACCCGTATTGTCATGGATCTGTTCGGTGCGTTTTCAATGCTCCATCAATGACGGCTAATATTTTTTATTTTCAAGCGATTTTTCAAGAAGGGAACATGGACACCCTCGTAACCCCCCTATAAATCATTGCCTGCGATGCGATTGGGATTACCGTTTATTAATTGTCCGACGAACCGCAACAGCTGCCTTGCGTTTCAAGAATGTCCATAGTATCTATATTTATACAAAGCTAACACGGGTCATTTGCACTGCGGACTAGGCGTCAGAAACTAGGTCTAAAGATCCATATCAGGGCAAACAATTTGTTCTCAGACAGCTAATAAGGACAACTCACTTGTGAGTACACAAGAGGGGCTCCATTGTACGACGCGTCAGTAGGGTTGCTTGAGGCAACACCAGGCTCATTAGACACAATTGCCGCGCGAAATCCAAGATGATCAGCCACCCAATGCACAATCCTATAGCGGCCGTCTGCTCCACGGAAACCGTATGAGCCTCGGCGTTCACCAGCCGCATTACCCGATTCTCGGCGGAACTGTCCGCCACCGAGGCCATCGTCAATGTCGTAGCCGAAATTGAAGTTGCCACGGCCCTACGTACGCAATTTGCGAACGTATCAATTGCGTACTTCGATTTATTGAGCATTCACATTTTTGCTGATACGCAATTAAATGCGGGTCTTATCTTGTTTCATATTGAAAACGTGAGTCTCATATAGTTGTTACCGATCTTAATAGACAGCATGCTTGTTAGTTTGGTCACAGTTTTATTGAGAGAAGCATTTTCAGTCGTAGAAACACGAATCGTAGTCCGTTCATTAATTCGGTTAGCCGTTTCACCTTGGCAGCGGGAATCCATATAAGAGAACATATCAATTCTCTGAGCTTCAATGACAAAAAGTAGATACGTAATCTGATATAAGGATTCAGAACTATGAAAGGCTGAAACTGACTCATTCTCTACTTACGCTCAAATGAATTAAACATCTTACAAGTAGTATAGCATCGTTTTTTTCTAAAACGAATAAAAATACCTGCTTTGATAAACTGCGCGATAAAAATAGAGTACAATGATTTTCAGCTCGAGTTATTAACAGGTACTAATTAGGACAATGGTTACACCTCACACCACGAATATTTTCAGCGTGAACTCCGTCTTCGCTTAAATGGTAATGTTTAATCGAATGAAGTTATAGCTGACGGCACATATACTGATCGACGTTACTTACGGAGGCTTTCTATGACTCGATATCTATCCTATTCCTAAACCGACCCTCGTCTTACCGGATTTTGAACAAAGACTCCTATACTATAGACAAATATATATACCAGTAGTTATATATATATTTTTTGATTTCAAATAAAATAATGATGATGACGCATTGGACCATTATTCACAGTAGACTTGTTCTTTCGCTTTTCGCTAAGAAACGTCCCCGGCTCAAAAGATTTATGGCGCGAAGTTGTAGCACTTGGTCGGACATGGCCAAGGCGCGCGACAAACTGATAAAGCCTGCGATCACGCCTCTCCTCCTTTTGATGATGCCGTCGGACAGATCACCTTTCCAGGCGATAGATATATATATAGATAACTAATATACTTGACGGCACCATCTGGGATCAAATACCAGTCTCTACAGGTGTTTCGACTAAAGCAAATAGCTATTTTTCAAGTATCTATGATTACTGCATTGTAATGGCGGTACTTACAAGTAACGTGTTTTTCTTAACTATTTGCAATGACGTAAACAATTCTAAATTATATCATACTGAAGTCTTTAGATAATGTCTCAAAAGGAGCCCAGTTTAGCTGATGCCAATTATCGGTTTCAACTTCGTACTAACCTGTTCAATGAGAGATCAGAAACTGGTTATTATTTTCTTTTTTCCAAAAAGCTGTTCACAATAATAACCTTCTTTAATCATAGGGATTATTCAATATTAACACTAAACCTACCGATTGCTAACCGATCCTTAAAAAACTTGGCGTTATAATAACTAGACCCAGATTTTCAGCGGTATGAAATTCGACGGCGACGTAATAACATTTAGATACATAAACTTCTAGAAAATTTTGCGAGAGTGACCGCTAGTAGTATGTTTATGTTTAATGTGTAGGTTTAATATTGATTTAGATGATTTAGGATTCTGCCGCATCAAAAACACAGTTGAGGTTACTTGAAACGCGTTTAATTTTCATATAAAATATCGTAATATCTTTTCGAGACTGATATGGTTGCGTTCACTTCTTAGTTCTCTATGCGGTACAGAAGGAATGGTTTTGTGGTGAAGACTTTCTGTCGCTGTGCATTTGTTGCTTAAGGCAGCATGAATGATACAGTAAGCAGTATATAGATAAACTAGAACCCTATCGATGTTGTCCATTTTTTAACTAGATACTGTGTTTTTTTTTTCGTCTTTTATAAAACTTCGCACGATTTTTATTGCGTAAACATGGCACCCGAAACAAAAGCATCAATCTGTGAATTATACTTTGTTTCTCATGTTTCCCTCCTTCTGCCACTTACTACTGCTATCAGTTCTTTATACGCTACTAAATGTGTGCTGTAGCGTTCTCAAGAAAACCGTCAAAGAAGGAGTTCGCCTTTAACATTGATGCTGATAAGAGATGCTTTAGCATCTTGTCATTGTTTCTGTCGTACGTTGTGTGAAGTCTATGCTGTTTTCGGTCTTTGTTAACTTTATTATGGGTCACTTTCGATAGAACCTATTTCTCATTTGAAGCAGAACAATTTTAGCCAGTGTCAGAATGAATCAGCAAAATGATCGCGAACTAGCTGATCTTCTTCGTTCTTCTCCTTCTTCTTTGCTTCTGAGCGCCAGCGACAAAAAACTGGTTCTTCTATTCAACGATAGGTGTTCGATGTTATGCGGTGACTGTGATGCCGACTCCCTGGCCGTGTGTTTTATCACGTGTGTGTCTATTTGCTGTTGTTCAACTTGACGTTTTGCTTTCTTTATTGATTTCGTTCGAAGTAAGAGATATAAGAAATAGATAGAGTAATGTCTATTTCAGCAAAACAATTATCGTTCCACTCTCCATTTGCGCTCTGGCCATACGATGCATACTCGATGTGTCTGTCGTCTCGACGTGTGGGAAATGGAGAATCGCACGAAGATTAATATTTTCTCGTGCATAGATTGTGTGTGATGAATATTGGGCTGGTCGAAGTATACCAAAGTCCAATAGGTGTTTGGCGTATTTCAGAAGAAATGAGATGATTTGGTCTCATAATTAACTTAGTATATATAATAGCATTCAATGAAAAGTGTCGTTATTATCACTGTTATTCAAATAACCTATTGAAGACAACGAAGCTGCACCATCATGTCATACGTACGTCTTCCGATCGGAAGTTCCTGGAGTGTGGAGTTCTATAATTGCTTTCATGAATCCGTGACGTATCCTGTGCCGTTACATGGCCAGGCCTCAATAACATGAGAAAAGCGTAGAGTATGACAGCCGACCACAGTATCGAATAACTCTGAAACACAGTTTGTAGCAGTAACATAGTTATTACCTAATAACATAGACCACTAGCCGTTGCCGCATAAGCTAGCTATTTAGAAATCCCTGCGAATAGTAAACATCTACATAAATTATATGTGTGATAATAGAGCGACAACGCTTTGAATTTTGTTTGTATAGCCAAATATCTACAAACTAATTAATGACTCCTCCGGGGTCGTTTCATTGTATCTAGTACTGTCTCATATCGATACGCGATTTTTCATCACCCTTTCTAGTTTCCGTTCATCCACATCTTTCATTTGTCTGGATTTATCGCTGTCTCATTCATATCTATCGACATTTCCACTGACATTTTGAAGCACTTCTATCGCCTTCTACTGAGACAAAACAACATACAACATAGACGTAGTTGTGGTTAGTTGTAGAAATTTGTTATCGTTGCATGGGTTATGTCTTTGGAATGTCAAAATGTAATGTTATATGGCTCTATTTCGAAATTCGCTTCCGTCAAAAGAGCATGTAAACGTCACTAACTAAACGTGAACAAAGGGTGTATTTACTATTTTGTAATAATCCTTATGGCTGTCGTACTAAAACGTTCCTCATAGACGTTTCTCTGAAGTCGATGGGAAACTTTTACTCTAATCATTCGTTCGTTCGTTCGTCGACGATCACAGTTTATGCTATTTTTGCAGGCAAGAGATTGCATGGGCTGATATCGTCGCAGAAGTCATCAACCGCATCTTTACATGGATGCGTGCCAAGCACGAACGGTCAATTCCAGCGCGTACAGCATCCTCATTTTCGACCGACAGATCTCTCCGGCAACTTCTCTAAATCTCGCCCTCTCTACCCCCTCCTTCCCTCTCCCAGCCGTCTCTTTTGGTATAGATTTAAGTAACTGGTAGGAAATCTGTCGTAAGACGTCTCCAAGACACACAATGTGTGGGTCCGAAGCAGAACGCAGGGGGACGAGCAGTCGGGGAATTATTCTTCACGAAATTTATCCACGAAACAGATATTATATTTCCTGGAGTAATCCCCGGATCAATTCAAGACTCCTGTCCCAAAAATATACTAAACCTACGTGCTGCTCCAATAAACAAGTCCTGTTGGTTTGTCATCACGAAACGCCTGTATTCGTTCAGCTTACATTATCATGTTGTCACGGCTGACATGAGTACATGTACGTTGGTTAGGTGATTCAGGTGAAAAATTTTTGGCTAAAGCTATTTTGTTTGTTATAAATAGGCTTTTTATGATGTAATCGACGTAAGCTATACAATAAACTGACTCCGTACAAAGTAGCCAATTTTCATGAACCGACGTTTAAGAGGCGCTCGAAGTTCACGGTGTTTTTAATATTAGATTCATGATAATTTGTAATGGCTTTCTAAAAATTCACATACGAATCTAATTTTGCCGCTGGCGAATTTCACCAGTAAGTGAATTTTGTGGGCACCATAAAACCCAAACTGACTTTCTGTATTACAAATTTAGCAAACGGCGGAACGCATACCTGCTTTAACCTCTGCGTACTTGATCGCCTCGGGCAGGGAATTATTCGATCTTCACCAAATCCTGCCGCGTATTTTTCCATCAACGGAGTCTAAATTCTTCGGTGCCGAAGGAACCGCCCAACAATGAAATATTGATTGTACGAAGCGCTTTGTACGAACGCAAATTTAGCCCAACATTTCCCAACGAATTTTCTGGAGGTAGGTTTTGTCTAGTAAGCTGTGAGTAAGACTTTACAAGCAATGCGTATCGTTTCAGGTTGTTTAGGTTTGATACTAGGTGTACGCACACTTCGTTCTATAAGAACGGTTACACGTCTGAAGCAAACGGCGGCACTGAACATAAAACTCAAAAGATTTGTTATTCAGTCAATCGATTATATCTACCAATATTTGTAAACCTTGAAGCTTTTCGGCATCAAATTATTTCTTTTGTTTTTTTACATTGAGGATTTTTTGGGCTCCGTTAAACGGTGAGTGGCCTTTATTGGTCGTCGATTGCTACTGACGTAGCTATATGTTTACTGGATGCAGCTTTATAATGTACCTGAGGAACTGCGCAAAGTCTATTTTGTGGATTAAAGCGCACATATCATTGAACATATCTTCTCCAAATATGAAAAATTATCGTAGAGCATAGCGTATTAATAAAATGAGCATCTGAAATGTTCTGTGGCCGGTGCTCACGAACCCATGTAATAACGATACTTCCGATCTGTAGACTGCGCGAAGAGTATTCGAAACCAAAAAAGTACGATTTAATCTTCCTAGATAAGCGTTTATTCTAATATTAAATGTGTATAAGTTTGTATAGAAAACTAGAGGTGGATTGTCATCGGAAGAGTATTTACTAGAATTGGAAAGCAGTTTTCAAGGTAACACCAACAGTTTAGTACGTCAGTTTCATTATAATACACATATACTATTTATTATAACAATATTAATAGCAGAAATAATAAGTATGTAAACACAAAAATAAAAAAAACACGGAAAATAAAATATAATGTTATTTTAAATTAACTAATTTTTTAAAGATAATTCTTTTTTTAGTCAAATAGTCACAAAAGTATGACCAAAAAAAAATTCGTCTTTTTTTTTTTTTGTAAACTTTGGTTTTGGAATTGTTTCGAAATTTGGTAAACAGCTCTGTACGGGATATCTTTTCTCGGTTCACGTTCTTCAACCGACCTATTTTATCCTTTGACGATTTGGTTAGTCCACGCACAACTTCAAAAATACTCTGTTCTCTCTGCTATGGTTCACTCTTGCCTAAATACCGAACTCTCACGCTGAATTTCGCGGACTGCGTCTTATAAAAAATGTATAGATTCAGATTACTTAGATTTTTTAAATGACCAGTTGTCTAGCAAGCTAGAGAGTTCATTACGCCACTCAGGTCAATTGAAATTAGTAATTTTTCTAGTGGAATTGAAAAAGCGACTATAAGGATGAAATTTCGATATAAGGATGCGAATAAGGATCGATGTATATAATAGATATTTTAAGAGGAAAATTATTTGACCGAATAGATCCAGATCCGTATGATAGAAAACTTTGTTAGTATTGCAATATCTCAGATTAACAGATCACTATTTTATCTTGCAACTGATAGGTTCCAGTCAATTCATCACACACACAGAGAGTAGCCATTACTTGAGGTGGATTATGACTTCTACCGCAGTACTTCACTTATACAGCATATCTTTTACTGATAACCATCACAGGATCCGCACCGGAATTTTGACTCAGCCTTTTTATTTTTAGCTTCCAATGGCTCTAAGATGATGCGCTGTTTGTAAGCGATATACTGACAGAGTACTGCCGCAGCCGGAATTAATTTATTTAATCTTAAATAACCTTAGATACGGCAGATAAATAATGTTAGATAAATTATATAATACTTTGTTACTAAATTATATAATAATAGTACTGACAACAAGTTGCCACACCTATCCAAGATGGTTCTGCCAAAATGCCAAACAATACAAGATTAATGTTAAACAGCAAGGTAAAATTTGAAGGATCAACTCAATCCATTCACGGTAGGGTAAGGCGATGTGCCGTAGATGCATTTGCAGAATATGTCTTATTACATATACTATGATGCGAGCAAGACTCTTTTGGATTAAGATTACGGGAAAAAGCATATCCTATGATCAATTCTAGGTAAGAGCTAGTGAGAAACTCTAACGATACCACGAAAAACTATATAAGACACATCTGTTAACAGAAGTGTACATGCATCATATTCTGCCTTGCATTTGTCTGCTTTATAGAATGTATGTAATCACGTTTCCTTCCACTTACCTTCATCGTTGTGCCAGGTATAATCCTATCCCCTTATTGATGTTAGATAAGTTTAAGGCTTATCCTCTGAGTAGATGCAACCACAAAAAATCTTCAGTTTTTGTAAAGTAGGCGGAGTCCGTTGATAGTATAGGACTTGTCTGTTTTTACGCTTTTTGAAACACTGCACCTAAACTTAAACCGAAGGCTGGATTGCCGTTTTCGTTTGCCGCAAGTGCAGTATTCTAGCAGAACTGATTGAAGTGTGTAGCTTCGCAATGAATCGAGAAGGCCCCAATAGGACGAGGGCAAATTCGGCGCTGTGGGGTGGCTTCATCTTCCACTTCCACCCATAGCCGACAAAACCGTGAGACATTCATTGTGCCGTCGCCTCGTAGTAGATTGTACGAAAAGTCATCCCTCTTTCCCTGCGTACCAGTCTGTCTAAACAGAAAAGAAATGGTTCCCCACGTGATACACGGCAGTTCCGTACGAATCTCCTCTGCCCGCCGTAGCATACGAAAACAGTGTTTGCGAAGTTTGCACTGTACATCTTAGAATCGTCGCATAAATCAACATATACTGAAACATATACGTATGCAGTGAAGTGCTAACGTAGCTGCGATTGCGTCTGGGACAGGGGAACTCGAGACTGGCTATGGGAGCAAAAATGGGCTAGGAGAGCTGCGCAGATGGGTTGAATTTTTCAGTCTGTGAATACCGTTTTTGTTGCTATTAGGACTAGCCTACAGAAAAAAAAACGGTCTCTGTAGTAACACAAAGATAATTTTGCTTTTATACTTTGAACCGTAAGCTCATTGTTAACAGCATGTCTACACATGAAAAGTTTTTTTTTGCCAAACGGCCCAAGTTTACTTTAACGAAAATCAGAGGAATCGACTTTTTAAATAAGGAACAAACAATAGACCCACTGTAGCCCGCTTATTCTAGAACTACTAACTAGTTCAGCTACTCAGTAAAAGTGTATTTTGAAGCTGAGTTCAACTAATCTGCCATAGTCACGCCTTATCGCGTAGTTCCCGCAACAGTGGTTGGGTGTCAATGGATTTAAACACTTTCGCAGGCCAAACCCTGATTTGCTTATGCTGTTTGTACTATGTTTAAATGACTTTTTGAAGTGGATTAGACTTGCAAGTTCTCTGAAAAATGGTATTCCGGTTGTCGAAAAGATACCAAAAACATGCAAGAGGTATATATAACTAAAAAACAAGGTAAATTGAAATAAACCTTTTTACGTATAAAGCCCAACACTTCTCTAGATTTGTTTTTAGCGAATTCTGAGAAAGCTTATTCCGAATTTTGTCGAGATATTTTCTCAGGATAACCTAAATATTGAAAATAGATTTAGCAGGATGTTAACGAATGCAGAAGATACGACATTACAGCTCTACAAATTACCCACAGATTGATTATCAGGCCTATTCTTAGATCTTACTAAGCGCTTTCATGTCTTGACGGAGACAGAAACCTTAACGACAAACAGTTAATATAGACGTTATTGTTACGCAGTAAAATCTCGATAGTGACCTGCTTGAATTATTTTTGGGTTCGTAAAAAGAATATAGCGTTGATAAAGTAGGATTTCTGTGAAGTTTTACGCATTCAGGTCGTTTCCAGTGGAGCGAAACTTAAATCAAGAGATGAAAACGTAAAAGATGCATGTTTATTTGGGTTCACAAGATTGCCCTTATCGTTCGTCGGCCGTACCAAAAATTACTATTTCATATAATATGAACGAACATTAGGTTAGTTTCATTATCCGTTTGATTACCGTACATTTTTTGTCGGCGGTCCACATCATGAGGTGATTTTCTGTTGAACAAATCAGGTTACTGAACTGTTTTCTATCAGCGTTTACTATTGTTGCTTTCGAAATACGAAACCTCAATGATGACATAGGGTTTTATATACGCCTATTTCGAATCTGTTATAGGCACATATAGCGTTAACGCATATTCGTTGCGTAGGTGTTTAATGACCGATAGCAGATTATCACTCTATCGAAAGTCCACGAAGCGTTGAATCACAGAAATGTTTGTTGGCTACAAAGCAGAACGTCAAAATACAATAAAATTATTTCATATAATTCGCGGCTGACCATCTTGGCGGCGCTTCGTGTTCGTCACTGATAAAAGCCGAATTGAAACTTATTGGGTCAAAAAATTAAAAAAAAAAAACCCTTTGACAGCGGGATAACAAATGAGCAGTCAAACATGCGCATCGTAAAGCATTACGCTTGACAATAGAAGCGGTAATAGAAGACGATGAATTTCAGCGTACTATGTTTTCGAAGAAAAACCTGTTTTCTAATCTTGAATTATCACTACCGACCTAAACTGAATCTTTATCCGATTCATGTAGTGAAAAGTGTTTACTATGAAGTGGACAGCGGACTGTAGAGTCAAGGTTGACTTTCTCTGCCTCGTTGTCGATATATCTACAATGTACTACTGCTACCTGTTCTAAGTGAGCATCACGCCTCTTCCGGTAATTGCTGCAGTCCAGCTTCGTTCATGTCGTGCGCATGACATTGGTGATGAACATCGGCATTCTCTAGTCCTATGTGCAGAATCCTGACTACGTTGCAGGTTGTATGCCAGCCTGTTCAAGTAGTGAAGCTCGATTGCGGTGGACTCGTGATCATCCTCGTGCTGATTGACAGGTGCGGGCGCTGAAAGATGACATTGTGAAATGCAACGATGACAGGCTAGCGTGCTGGAGGTGAGGTTTGCATGTGTCATTTGCATGTGTTCCGACGGATCGGTATCCATTGAGCTGGGCTTGTCCATAATAGGCGTATTGGCTTTTGGGGAAGGCTGAGAGGTCTTCAAAAAAGGGCAGTCTGATACTACGGAGGACTCGTTTCTATCCAGTAAGCCAGTAAGGAAAGTGTTCTGGTCTTTTTCAGAAATTTCATATCTAACTGAAGGCGCAATCGATTGGGGCACTTGCTGTTGACCGTAGTTTTCCGCCATTTTTGTCCCACGGACAAGCCTTGCTGTTAGTACCACGGCAGTCGTTTGAGTAAACATTCGTCTGACATTGGATTTTTATACCTATGCAGTTCCTGTGAGGGTAATAATGGATCGAGCTGTAGCGTCGACAACAATGCTTTGTTTTATTTATTATTAGAAGTCCGAACAGGGCGCTAAAGTCGATCGAGAATACCACTATCGATTTAGTGAATTCGAGTTCACGATAACAATGTACATTGCTATAGACAGATATCGAATAACATTCCAAATGTTCTTGCAGTCGGACAAAAACACAAATCTTGGCTCAGGTATTCATTTATATTGTAAAATTATATTAACTTCCACTCTTTACAACAGCATAGGCCATTCCATAAATGCAATGGATATGATAAAAGACTAGCATAGCAATGAATCGAGCTAAGTTCGAACTTTTCGGACAATTCAATTCCAAATAAGTAGTTTTTATTTTTATGATCAACTGAAATATTATCGGGCATTCATTTCGTTTCGTGAAAGGTGTAATGATTCTCATAATTAATTTTTCTTACCCATCACTTTTAAATGGTATTCACAGAAAAAGTTAACTTGTAAGGTTCTGACGGCATATCGTTTACGCTCTAACCTATGCACTAACACGGAGTTCGAAGACTTTCCCGGACATTAGGCCGACATTAGGGGTTACATATATTTGTTGCACTTGGCGACCTTCGCAAAGACCAATAATAACTTTCATTTTTGGCCTAATAATCTGCGTATAGGTGAGGCCTTACGTTCAATCGACATCAGTTGCAACGAATCTATAACGAACGTTTTTCTTTGGTGTATGCTTCGGGAGAGCATCTAAGAGATCAGAAGATAAGTCTGTCGCACATCTCCTAAATAATAGCGTCAATGTTTTTTATGTTCACCCAGGAATGTAGCCAACTGAACAAAACACTGTTGAATGTTTTTAGAGTGTTTCCAATACGTGTTTATAGTATAATAATAATAAAGAAATTGTTTATAGCGCATTGGTAATATAAGATTTAAGGATATCCAAAGGTTTGTCTGCACATTGAATCGCCTAAAATAAATCTCTCGTTAAAACCTTACTTATTTCGGACGTGGCTACACGAACTTTTGGCTCGTATGGAAGAGACATTACTACGACGTGTGTGTATTACATGCAGTATAAACTTTGGTTTCTACCTGGAGCCGCATTGCGTAAGACATTTTACATTGTAATTAGGGCTATTTTACGACAGAGTTTTTACATAATGTTGACAGAATTAACTAACAATTTATATCCTATGTATATGCTTTCAAATCTCTCTCATGAACTCTGATACAGAGCTGAGTGCTCGAACCTCGTCAGGGTGCCAAGCGAACGGTAAGCGGCAGGCATAAATACTATTACAGATTCGTCAGTCACCAACGTAATTTCAAACCTGGCAGAGTGGAAGTTATAGCTTCTGACGACGGGGCTACAAGGGAAAGAGATGTCCTAAATAATAAGACTGCGATTGTAAACGTTTGGGGGATGTTTACCCAAAACGCCAATCTTCTTCAGTCAACTTAACCGCAATAGAAACGGCGCCTGAGTAGTCAAACGAGTTGGTCAGTTTTCGTTCCGGTGAGGATTTATCAACCAGTATCAGATGATCGGGCATAAGAGGAGTTTAGTCCTACCATGCGTGACGCGTTGTGTATCGAAAGAAAATGAAATAGTACAAGTGTCGCATTAATCACAGGACCAAGTACTGCACAGGCTTGAGTAAACTCCTCGACAGCGGTCTGTATATCATGAGCTATCCTAGCATGCTCGATCCGATCGAAGCACCGAGATGTCATTCGCGTTAACGATAGTTCCATGGATGTCATCTTCTGAGATCTTAAACAGTTTACAATGAAGGATGAATATGTAAGGCCCTAGAACCAATACGTAAGCTGACTTTCTTACTTTTCAATGTTGACCTCCTTCGTACTGCCACATTTCTTTCATATGTTTACCATTTCCATTTTATTAATGCCCATGTACTCGCCAGCCAGCTTCGACTTGATACGCCTGCTATTCTTTCTTCTCATTTAATTAAAGAGGTATTAGACCTAAAATTCGTGTTCTATAGCCACACATTCTTTAGGTGGTTCTCCTAATAAAGCAGTTTTAGGGGTACTTTTTATGCGCTCTCACGACGCACGTTATCTTACAAGACCCGTCTGGCGTTTACAGCAAAGGCTCCTTATTTCTCTACGCAAAACTTATGTTTTTTCTACTCTATTAAGTCGAAATTCATTATAGCTATAAGACTGATCGTCACGTTTTGTTGATGTTTAGCAT